GGATTTCTTTCTTTTGGACAAAGCATCAGTGGATCAGTGCCCATGCTTTTGTTTTGCTTATGTACCTGAAGAGGCCTTATCCTGTACAGTTCCACGAAACTCACTGAGTGAGGCCCTAGCTTCAGGCCAGAGATTTCCAGTTAAAACACCAAATGACTTGATAGCAGAGCTGGTCCATGAAATTTTGCTACCTGAGGGATGGGTTTCTTTCTCTTGGACAAAGCATCAGTGGATCAGTGCCCATGCTTTTGTTTTGCTTATGTACCTGAAGAGGCCTTATCCTGTACAGTTCCACGAAACTCACTGAGTGAGGCCCTAGCTTCAGGCCAGAGATTTCCAGTTAAAACACCAAATGACTTGATAGCAGAGCTGGTCCATGAAATTTTGCTACCTGAGACATAGGACAAGATGCTGGTCCATTGGCTGTTCAATCTTAGTTTCAGTGTGGATGGCAGGACAGTATTCTCCATTTCACCTGAGGCAGCAGCTTAGTTTAGGATTCTGCACCTCTAGGCAGGCATGTTGTCCTCCAGCAGAAAGGATGTGATAAGGGCAGCTCAAAAAGAATAGTTCAGAAGAATAGGACCACTGCTCCCAGTGTCTTCCACCTCAGTCAGTTGCCTCACTTTGACTGATTAAGGCATGCCCTTTGTTTGCTCCTCTTTGTGAGAACACTATATTGCTTCCTGACGTGGCAGAAAGGTGAGAACAGAGTTCAGTCTGTACTCAAGGTAAGCAAACGAAATGAGGGCTAACGGCAAAATAGTCATGATAATAATAAACTATCTATTCTGGGTTTGTAGAAATTGCATGGGCACTATCTGGCCCTGCTCCTGACATAAAATAGATGTAACTAGATTTCAAGAGGTATTATGTGTATGCAGTTACAGATGACTTTTGCTCGCATGGTTTAATGAAGGTCATATTGAGATCCAACTCAGATTTCCATTGTCACCTTAGAATATTTTACCCTCTTTGTGATCTGCCTCACATTAAGTGAAGTTGGCTCAGTCTTTGTTCATAGAAGGAGTATCTTTTTGGTTTTCAGGCACTCACTCTCTTCCTGCTGGCAGTATAGCTCATCCTATTTATTTTAGGTGAAAACAAAATAAATATTTGCCATGTTATATCTCCTTCTCTTATGTTTGATGAACTGGACTTGTCCACGAAAGTTCACATTAAAAAAAAGCAAAACAAAGTGTGCTGCTTATATAACAAAGCGTACTGCTTAAATACTGCCCCATAGCATTTCAAGCACTCTCTGGGTGGTTTGCAATTTAATTATGCAGACCACACAATGCCCCCCCCCCCCAGCGAGCTGGGTACTCATTTTACCGACCTTGGAAGGATAGAAGGCTGAGTCAACCTTGAGACGGCTACCTGGGATTGAACCCCGGGTTGTGAGCACAGTTTTGGCTGCAGTACAGCAGTTTAACACCTGCATCACGAGCTTCTTCTAAAAATGAAAGTTTTTGGTGCCACCACATTTTTGTCTTTGTTGTTGTTGTTTGTTTGTTTGTTTTCACCTGTAGTGCTTGCATAGACTAACATGGCTATCCCTTCTACAACTACACTTATTCATTTTGCACACTGTGTAGGGGGCTGGAGAGATGGGGGAGTTCAGTTGCACGAGCCTAAATATAGATAATATATAAACACTATACAGTATATGATTTATACAGTGTTGCCCTGTATGGTCTTTCAGCACAAGACAGAACAAAGAGGAAATAGAGACAATTCTTTTGACACTGTCATCCCAGTGGCAGAGGGACCTTCTTTGTTGCCACTAGATATGTGTGCCAAAGACTACATAATGCAGTTGGCATGCCTTATGGGGCGGGGAATGAGTTCCTGTCACTTATCAGTGCTCCTCCCCAACACACGGATGGCTTTTGTCTCCTGAAGATGAATCTATTTGGTCTCTGGTGGGATGCAGCATGTACTGGGGTGAAAATGGAAGGATGCAGGTTTTGACTGGCATGGCTGTAGGAGCCAAAAAAGCAAGTGGCAAAGGAAACTCAATAGCCTGAAAAGCACAATGATTTGTTCAGAGAAGGGCAGGGAACTGAGATAAAAAAGCCCTGCTAAGATCAGAAACTCTGGTGTGCACAGTGCCTCATTGTTCAGCTGTCACACTTCCCTTTACTTTATTGCTTTTGTCCAACACCCTATTGTTCCGCTTCCTTTTGTCCCCTATTCAGAGCGCTGGCTTTTCATTACCCAGCCAGCCCTGTTGTTTTCATTTCTTTTGTCTGAAGTTCCTGAGAGGAAGGTTTTATTTTCAGCAGTTTGATTAATTCACAGCTTGAGACAGGCTTTGTTTGTTATGTAATTACTGCCCTGCGCTTTTCCAGAGCTCTGAGTGGCAGTGATGGTGGCAGTTGGCCAGTTGCAATGGCTGCTTTTGCCCCCAACCTGTTATGCTTTTCCTCCTGTTTTGTCTCTGTATAGCAGAAAAAATGCTACACATTGCATTGGATTGGATAATGGGAAACCTGAAAGGTCCAACACAAGATTTCTCCAAGGGCCACTTTGCCCTTGACATTTGCTGTACACTGGCATAGCTTTTGTGAAGGAAATGTAAGGTTCAATTTACATGTTTAGCCACATGGAAAGAATGCATATATATATCTGTGGATACTGCCTGTTGCTGATTCAGGAATTTTCCATTACACTATATTCTGGCCATCTCTCCAGCATTTTAGGGGACAGAAGGGGCATTACTGTAATATTTTTGTACTAGACTAGGGGTTTCCTGTCTTTTTGAAGCCATAGTCACAGTTAGAAATTTAACAAAATGTCATGACCTCCATTTCAAAATGGCTTTCTTGAGAGAGGATGGCCATTTGCCCAATGCCTGCTTGTAGGATGTGACTAGTCATGCAGTGGCTGCTCTGGATAAGGTGACTTGCATGTCCTCCATTTGAAGAGCTCTCCTTCTTTTTGGTGATGTGTAAGTATTCATCTTATACGCCTATGAATTTCTCTGGCGGAGCAGGGATTTTAATCCAAATCTTCTGATTCTGTGTCTGACGCTCTATGTCACAATCTCAGAAACAAGCTATCCTCAGGTTCTGCAGAACTCTTCAGCAGGCTGGGCTTTGCAGAGCTGAGGAGTGAGAGGAAGAAGAAAAAAAGCCCCCAAATCCTCTTGGTCAGACACTGAGGCTGGGCTGTTCTGAGTAATGGACCTATGAAGTTAGATCTGTGTGTATAGTACAGGTGTTGTTTGTTAATGTTTCCAATCAGTCCTCTCTCATTTGGTAAATAAAATGATGGGGTGTTCATTTTATAAGGAAAAAAGTAAACCACACACACTGATACAAATTTGATCATTTGATGTATGTTGTTTCCATCACCATCTTGGCACTTGCTTATGTCTGCCTGTTTATCTGAGTGGATTTAAGGATGGGGTTCTCTTTCTCTTTCTTTTCTTTTTTTTAATACTTTGTTGTAAGCTGCCCAAAGTAGTGACTTGCCACTAGATGGGCAGGGTAGAAATGTAATGAATGAATGAATGAATGAATGCATAAATGAACAAACGAACAAACGAATACATACATACATACATACATACATACATACATACATACATACATACATACATACATACATACATACATACATATACATAGTTTCCCCGAAAATAAGACCTAACCTGAAAATTAGCCCTAGTATGATTTTTTGGGATGATCGAAATATAAGCCCTACCCCCCCCCACAAAATAACCCCAATTTAAGTGAAACTTAAACTAACCTGAAAATTAGCCCTAGTATGATGTTTCAGGATTATCGTAATATAAGCCTTACGACAAAATAAGCCCCAGTTAAGTGAAGCCCCGCCCTCCACCATTGTGCAGCAACCAGAAGAAAATGACATGACTATATTTGAGTAAATGCAGATTGTTATACATGCAAAAATAAAACATCCCCTAAAAATAAGCCCTAATGTGTTTTTTTGAGCAAAAATTAATATATAAGACACTGTCTTATTTTGGGGGAAACACGGTACGTACGTACATACATACATACATACATACATACATACATACATACATACATACATACATACATACGCACGCACGCACGCACGCACGCACGCACGCACGCACGGCAGGAAGGATATGGCATGTCATGAACTTCAGATGCAATGTCAGTCACAGAAGTCAATATTATTTGTTTGTTTGTTTGTTTGTTCGTTCATTCATTTGTTTGTTTGTTTGTTTGTTTGTTCATTGGTTTACTGTCCCGCCTATCTATATCCAAGGTCTACCCTGGGCGGTTTACAAATTTAAAAACAATTATGAAAGTGTTGTTCAGACTATTCCTCTGAAATAACTGGTTGCTGCCTACCTAGGTATACCAACAAAATTCCAGTGAGTTCTGCTTCTGTTCTTTCCATATATACTCAGTTTTGGATAGTTGCAAAAAAAAATAATACAAGGCAGAAGGTATTTCAGAGAGTTATTAAGCACTATGCCTTGTTTTATTTGATTTGACAACAATTATCCAAAAGAGTAGAGGAAGGGCTGATTTGAAGTCCCAAATTCCAGAACTACATAGTGGATTCCCCACACAATACAACAAAATATACAATTCATGAAAAGGAAACTGGTGAGATTCAAAGACAAATAACTTGCCTAAGAAACTGAATACAAAGAAATAGTATCTGAAACCCAAAGCACAATTTGACTTTTTTGAACCAGTCCTTTGAATCTATTCCTATTCCTGAAATAAATCATATAGAAGGCAAGACAATCACTTTTCCCCAAACAGCTTTAAATAAATACCTCTACAATTAACTTGAAATTTTCCCCTCCAAATAGGAAGATCTTCCTTAAACCAGTCTCCCAGAAATCAATATCTGTCTCAGTCCATTTGTTTCCCTTTTGCAAACTCAATTCACCTTTACTCTTTTTCTTTTTGTTGGCCAATTCACCCCCCACCTCTTTCCTTTTCTCTGCTATGGCAATTTCTTTTTTCCTCTCATTCTTCCTATAGGATGTCCATGAGGAGCCCTGCCTCTCCTCAGCTGGAGCTCAATGGAGCTGGGAACATGGTGAACTGTGCCATTAAAACAGAGGAGAAGAACGAGAACTACTTCAAGTCTACACAGGGAGAGGCAACTAGTACCAGACTTGGTTCTGAGAAACTGCAGAAATCGCCATTACTGCTGTGTGAAGTCAATGATCCTCAAACCCTCCCGAAGGTGGGAAAAATCTCTTGAGTTTTATCCTAACCCCTTGCCTTGAGACAGGGCTCTTGCTCAGCTGCACAAAAAAGTTTAATTTCACAAAGAGCCAGTCCAGTTTCTGCCTGAGGCAACATACGCCTCTGCCCTGGCATTAAATTTACAATAGTTAATAAATAAATAAAATTTATTTATTGCCCTTTCCTGACATCCAAAAATCAGCTGTCAGAGGCAATCATCTCTGTTGGCCTTATGGCAGGTCTGCGTTGGTATTATTTTTGTGTCCATGACAGTGGATTTGAGGCGAATCCATTGATGTTTTGATTTTCTTATAAAAAACATCTGTAAGGACATCTGGATCTGATCAAATCAGCAGCACTGCCTAAATGGTTAAGAACCTTCACCCTGTGTTGCTGTTTACTCTTCTTGGACTGTGCGGGTCAGGAGAACTATATACTGTAGTAGATGGCACAAGGAAAACTCCTTTAGTACCACCGCTCTAATCAAACTCAGACATTTCCCACCCCATGGGTGTTTTGAAGAAGGCACAGAAGCATTGGGAGAGCTAATTATGACCCTTTTGCATTTTGAGTAGTTTGATGGCTTTTAGACCTTGAATCAGTTGAAAGAGACTTCAAAATCTTCATTTGCACTTCTGTGTCAATGCTGTATTGCAAAATGAGCTGGCTAATAGCCACCAAGTTTTTGCTGTTATAAGACTGTGAAACATTTGGAAAGGGCAGTGAGTTAGGGATTCTTATGTGTATTGAAGGTAAAGGCCCACAGACCAGGTTTAGAACACATGTTATGGGAATAAAGATTGAAGATTCAATTGCTAATATTTCTGTTTGAGGATTGCAGGACTGGCAGATACGCTTTCCAGAGACCTTGGAGAGTGACTGACAGTAAAAGAATATAGTACTGTATCAATATAGGTGTTTTTGTTGTAGTAGTAGATCTGTCATGTTTCTGTATGAGCATCATTTCATGTTTATAATTCCTGGGGGGAAAATTGCACTCATGAAGGCGTAACTTATTCCATTACAGATTTATTAACTAACCATCCATTAATTGAAGTTCTCTGACCAATCAATGGATAAAATACATAAACATATAAAACACACATATCTGCATTTGTTTATTAATTAACCATCCATTAATTGAAGTTCTCTGATCAATGAGTGGATAAAATACATAAACATATAAAACACAACATAGGAATAAAACAATGGCAGTGAAATAGCTTAAAATAAAAAAGTCAGCAGCAGTAATAAAACAATGCAGCACATAGTAAAACTAAGAGTAAAACCAGGAATGGGAATAAAATAGTACTGGTAATACCACAAATCATATATTCACATCATCTCTTCCAGCAGTTGCATATAAATGTTGAAAAGCACAGGGGATAAACTAGAACCTTGTAGACTAACACAGTAAAGCTACCATCAGAAATTGGTCTTCCAGGTAGGACTTGAACTACTATGATACAATGTCACTGCATCCCAGTTCAGCCAACTCATCCAGAAGAATGTCATGACCAGGCGTTGTTCCTAATACCAAGTCTTGAGTGGATAGCTAGAAGCATCCCAGCAGAATCTCTCATCTGACTTGAGTGCCCAGAACAAACTCTAGACGTGCTCAGACAAGCACAGAACCTGGGAAGGAAAATGAACTACAGTGACTTACCTTATTCCTCAAGTTTGAGTTGAGTACCCAGGAATACATAGCAAGGAAAGACTAAATTGTCTTTGTTCCCTACCTCCAGGTCTCAGTTATAAATACCAAGTCACTTCATGCATCCACAGATTAATAATAAATGAGAGAATTTTTATTGTGGACAAACTAGGCGTTTTGCATCAGTTTCAGCAGATCAGAAGATGAGCTGCCTAAGGCAAGCAGTAACCTGCTAGATGGGGGTAAATCCAGAAGAGAGAACAAGCATCAGAATGTCTCTTTGCTCTTCTCTTCAACTGGCTTATTAGTTATCCAATGCCATACCTTCCCAGGACCCTGTTTAGAGAGATTCTACTCCTAGTTTAAAAGCTGATCTGCAGTTTATTGCAGCATTTAAATTCATTCTGCAATTTAAAATAAAGTAAGATGATGGTTGGATGCAGACATTCCTATTTCAATGGGGAACGCTCAGAGCCACATGCAGTTCATTCATTAGAACATGCGAGAACACCTTCCAAATGTTATTGACAACACTTTTCAGATGTTGGACTGCAGCTACCACTGGCTAGGCTTACTAAGGTTGCCATGAGCTGCTGCTGTTTCCCAAAATACCTAGAGGGTCATTAGTTGCCCATACTTGCACTAGGGAATGTAGTTACAAAACAAAGACTCTGTGAAGAAAATTCTTCATCCTTCATTTTTTAATTTCCTGAATGTTGTTGACCTTGACTGATCGATTAACAATTGCTCATTATTTTTTAGGAATCACCATATCTAGTGGACAAGGCATTAGATTCCAGTAACCCATTTGGAACTACAGTTAACAATCGGGAAAAATTGGATTTCAATAAAAACCTAAAAGAAGGTAATGAAGGTTGTTCTACAACTTTTCCAGGCATTAGGTCTAGGCAATGATTCTGAATTAGACAGACAATCGTGATTGGTATTTGTTTTCACTTGGTAAAAGATGATTGCTTGTGTAATTTTATACCCCTTTCTTATTGGGCTAGATCTTTAGTTGCAGCAAATGAACATGATTAAACCAGAAAGAACATATAGTACTTTTTGAATGCACATACTGTATCAGACTACATAGCAAAGTATCGCCTTTGGAATAACTTACCTCCTGGTATTTGTGGAGCTCCCTCGCTGGGCACCTTTAAGAACCTATTAAAGACTTGGATGTTTCGGCAGGCCTTCTCACCAGATAGCTTTTGATTTTCATCTCTCCTTTAATGTTTCCCTACTTTTAATTGTTGTGGTAATTATGTTGTTTTATGTTATTGTATTTTATCTCTGCTGTTGGCCGCCTAGAGTAGTCCACCGCGACTAGATAGGCGGGATATAAATTAAATAAATAAAAATAATAATCATTTTAAAGATGAAATAATATTTTATTAAGTAGAGCGGAGGGAATTTCATGTTCACCCCTAGATTTTGTCAAGGAAATGTGTAAGAACAACTTGTGAACTAAATTCCTAATGTTCTGGATTATCTTTGACTTCGAGGGACTTGTTGGAGATGTATCCTCCTTGATTCAATCTAGTCTTTGTAATATTCTGCATTAAAATGATTTCTAAAGCTCTGTCTTTTCAAAATGCAACACCACCTGTGTGTGACCTACACTGCCATTCTCCTTGTGACAGTAATGCCGACTATTGAGAAGCTATTGTCCAGTGACTGGAAAGAGAGACTTCTGGGGAAAAGTCCCATGGAAACCAAAGAAGTGAAAGGTGAGCACTTGGACTAATTTTGTTTTTCTTTAAACTATATCTTCTTTAGGGCTAGTCCCCAGAAAAAAGAGGGAATTTGGTATGTTGGGTAGAGAGAGTAAATCTTGTATACAAAAACCTCTTGTTCCCTCTTCAAGGCTTTTCCAGCTGGAGCATTTGTTCTGAAATTTCTAGTTTCTGTACCAATATTATCTGTATTTTTCTCACCATCTGTACGACATTCTCCTTACCTTGCTTCATCTAGTGCTTTTGCCCATGACTTCCCACTCCTTTTTGTACCTCTAGAAAGCTAGGGTGGTTTTTTGTTTTTGTTTTGTTTTTTAAGTATCCATTTGTACTGGAGAGGAAATTTAAACCTTCCCATTTGCAGTTCAGTTCCATAGAGAGAGCTGCCTGCTGGAAGCTTTCAATCAGAAATCAGCACTTAAACAAAAGAAAAGAAAATCTTCCAGCAGAGAACCTCCAGCAGGCAATGGATTTTGTAAGAGTGCTTTCAAAGTTTTCTTAAAGATCTCTTAGTGTGAAACAGCTTTCTTAAAGAGAAATGGATGGTTTGCATGCAAATATAAGTAACCCCATGTTCTGATGGTGCTAAGAAACACCAGGGAAACAGAGAAAAATGGCTGTATCTGCAAGATACAGTTAAATCAGGTTTGAAGTCCAAGTATCAACATATTTATATTATCAGATTTCATAGTTCTGTCTTATGATGATGCATGCAAAAGCAACTACTGTTTTGTAGAAGTTTGTGATTGAATGTTTGGAGGGAACACATTCTTTTAGTATAATTGGGTTATAAGTCACAAAATTGTTTGAGTGGGATTTCATCTGAGCTGTCACCCAGATAAAGAAATTGTGCATAGTGTAAGTTGAATGGCTTGCATTATATATCAGTTAGATCCATTTACACCTGCAAGCAGAACTGTGCTTTACAAGGAAAACATGTGTCAGAGCAGGAACCTTCAAGAAGCAGCTTCCTGGGGAGGGGTGGGAGGAAGAGGAGGAATGCCTCTTCTGAAATGGTGAAAGTACCTTCATTACAAATATCTATAGATCTTCTTTGACTGAGGGTACCTTTTTAATAAATCAAAATATTTGTAACTAACAGAATCCATAATCCATTGGGGAAGAAGAGGGAATGTATCAGCTTTTCCATTGCACTGTCAGCTCATGATAGCAATGTGGAGTGAAGGCAGAAGTCTTTTTCCCTTTGGAATTGTCAGTTTGGGGGCATTGTTTTTTCTTTCAGTTTCTCCTGTCACTGATCTAAGTAAAAATGAACTACACCAACTTCAGGTCCAGGTGTATTGTTTCCTCCTTTCCAGGGACAAGTCAGAGGCATGCATATCCGTAGTCTGTTGCAACACACCCATGAAAAATATTTTATTTTGCTCTTGGGAGATTGGAACTGTGATATTGCAGCTGCACACCTTTCCTGAAAGCTTGCAAACTATTGCAAGGTTGCATAGCCTAGAGCAGTGGTTCTTAACCTTTGTTACTCGGACATTTTTGAACTGCAACTCCCACAATCCCCAGCCAGCACAGTTGGTGGTGAAGGCTTCTGGGAGTTGCAGTCCAAAACTCCTGAGTAACCCAAGGTTAAGAACCAGTGGCCTAGAGGTCAGTCTCCTGTACGGCATGTAGATGATTTTAGGTTTAATTCCTAGCATTTTTGGTTAGGACAGGAAAGAATCCTGCTTGACACCTTGGAGAGCTCCCTCTAATCAGTGCAAGCAATAATAGAATAGATGAACCAAAGCAGCTGTTTATGTTCCTGTGAATATCTCTCTCTCTCTCTGACTGTGAATCTCTTACCCCACTTCCTGAGGGGAAAATCTGAAAAAACTGCATGGCCCTTGGGATCCAAGAACTGCAGCTTTAATATTGTAGTCCTAAACATTGCCATCTCCCAATTCTCTCTTCTTTGGGATGCTGAATGTCCCAGGAACTCAGGAAAGCCTGGCAGAAAAGGAGTTGCAGCTGTTGGTCATGATTAACCAGCTGTCCATCCTGCGGGACCAGCTGTTGACGGCCCATTCTGAGCAGAAGAACATGGCAGCCATGTTGTTTGAGAAACAGCAGCAACAGATGGAGCTAGCCAGACAGCAGCAAGAACAGGTAAGGGGCAGAAATGTGCACATTGACCCTTCTGAGCAGCTGGGATATATAACTTAGAAGGCGGTTGAAAAACAGAGCTGGAACTTGACAGATCCTGTGTGATCTCGGAAAGGGATTTTTACCTAACATAATATCAAACCTGAAACACTGATTATCTTACTATACAAAGAGATGTTTAAAATGAGAAACTGCACCAGTACAAAGTAAATACATTTTGAAAGTTCACACAATATGTTGCGGTGATATAGAAGGATAATGACAATAAGAACAGTGTTCCAATTATCTAGCTTTTGAGTGGAGCTTGGGAAGACCAGAGCTAAAGCTTTTGCAAGCAGTAATTATTCATGTGATTGGCCCAATGCTGTGCTTGCTTATGCTGATGTATGTCCCATTATGTTGTGTGAAGATTATTCTCATTGTGCATAGGATTGTAATGTAAATCTTCAAAAGCTTTGGGCTTTGATTTCCCCCCTTCTCTTATTACAAAGTCAGTGTATCTAGAGAAAATGCCTATATTACATCTGTAATTGAAAATATCTTTTCTCTGTATATTTAGCCTTTCTATAGATTTGGGCTACAAATTATTTCAGTTGTGTGACGAAATATAAATTTACCATCTACAGTGGTGCCTCGCTTAACGATTACCTCGTTAAACAACAAATCTGCTTGATGAGGAGGTTTTTGCGATTGCAAAACGATGTTTCAAATGGCTTTTTCCACTTCCCGATGATTGGTTCCCTGCTTCAGGAATCGATTCTTTGCATTACGACGATCAAAACAGCTGATCGTCAGGTTTCAAAATGGCCACCCGCTGTGTAAAATGGCTCCCCGCTGTGCTTTAGGACGGCTTTTTCACTTTACAGGCACCCAAAATGGCCGCCCTATGGAGGATCTTCGCTGGATGCTGAGATATTTAGCCCATTGGAACACATTGAACTGGTTTTCAATGCATTTCATGGGCTTTTTTATTTCGCTTGATGAGGATTTCACTCTACAGCGATTTCGCTGGAACAGATTATCCTCATCAAGTGAGGCACCACTGTATATATTTTGGACTGTGATGGGCTGAAAGTAATTATGTTTGCTTTTCTGTGGTGTTGAACAATGTTGATGCATCTGTGTTTAGCAATGTTTGACTAAAATCTTATTTGTACAATTATTCCCATGTAAGGCTGATGATTTCACCAGCAGGGATGATTTTTCAGAAATTAAATACCACCTACTTCTGTCCTGTGGTTCCCACAGCTCCTATGTAATCTTTTTAATTTTTTTGGAAATTGTAGAAGGTATAGGACGAGAGGAGGAAGTCTTTTATTACACAGAATTGATACCACTGGGATGACATTGTTGTGGTGGTGATTTTCAGTAATTAAAGTCTTCCTCTTCCTGTCATGCAGCCCCTGTGACTTCCAAATGATGAAAGGGAATACACAGCACTCTTGGTACAGAAATAGGAAATGTTTACTTTCTGATAGTGAAGAAATGGTGGTGGGGGTAGAACATGCCCACGTAGGAGAAGAGAGGTTAGATACCTTACATCTATCCCCTCTTCTAGTCCTACCCCCAACCAGATGGTATCAGGTGACCATATCAGCAAATCCTCAAGCCACACAGTGCTGTTGATGAACGCCAGGTCAGTACAAAATAAGACTGCCCTCATCCATGATGTAATTCTGGATGAGGGTGCTGACCTGGTGTGCATTACTGAGATCTGGGTGGGAAAGGGTGGTGTTTTCCTCTTCCAGTTGTGTCCACCTGGGTACTTGGTCCAGCACCAATGTCGCTCGGAGGGTTGGGGAGGGGGAGTTGCTATAGTTTATAGGAGTTCTGTTTCTTTGACCAGGCTTCCTATCCCTTTGAGAGGAGGTCTTGAGGGCCTGTATTGTGTGTTGGGCTTACGAGACTGATTGGGGATTCTGTTGGTGTACTGCCCACCCTGCTGCATACCAACAGTCTCCCTGCCTGAGCTGATGGAGGTAATCTCAGACCTGGTGTTGAGGACTCCCAGGCTGTTGGTGCTGGGGGAACTCAACATCCATGTCGAGGCTGCCTTGACTGGGGCGGCTCAGGACTTCATGGCCAGCATGACAACCAAGGGGCTGTCTCAATGTGTCAACAGCCCAACACATGAGAAGGGCCATACCTTGGACCTGGTTTTCTCAACAGGACTGGAAGATGGTGGTTTGGATGTGGAGGGGCTGGTTGTGACCCTGTTGTCATGTTCAGACCACTTCCTGGTCAAGTTTAGTCTACTAGCTTCTTCTCCCCTCTGCAAGGGTGGGGGATCTATTAAGATGATCTGCTCTCAGAGACTAATGGATCTGGATGGTTTCTGAATGTTCTGGGGGATTATCCATCTGATATGGTTGGTGGATATGGTCGGTGCTCCTGTCGAAGCTCAGGTCAGCCTATGGAATAGGAGATGAACTGGGCGGTTGACATGATTTGTCTTATTGATACCCCATCTCTCTCCTCAAGAGGATTCTGTACTGAGCAAGATGCCTGTGCCTCTCATATACTTCCGAATCCACTGTTCCAAAGAGTGTAGAAAAACTGACATCTTTATGAAGACAAGATTCTGTTGTAGCCAAGAGAAAGGGAGCTATAAAACACTGAAGACTATATAATTTTTGCAGCCTGAGCTTTTAATGCATAAGAGTTCACTTCATCAGGTGTGCTACCAAATGTAATAGCAGTGACAGACTTTTCACACTTTTAAAAACTAACACCCTGTATTTTAGGTTTTCTGGTGAGGGCAACCTTTAGAATAGAGGGTAGGGCACCCTTTTTAGCTCATGGGTGAAATTCCGATTTTGAAGGAGTCAAGGAGAAAGGAGGACAATGATGGCCTAAGAGATATATTTGGACTATAACAATCTGCATCCTTCAGTGCTCCTTGGCGGGCATATGATGGTTGATGGTAAAGCTACCAAGCGTGGGTGTGCTGTTTCATGTTTTGGACTGCAGTTCTCAGAATTCTCCAAGAATTCCCCAGAAAGAATTCTAGGAATTGCAGCCCACAAACCCAAAGCTGCACGCTTTTAGATTTGCCCCTCCCCCCCAGAGAAGTAACTTTGGGTCATTTGCATCCAGTGTTAGCTTCTCTGGCCTTTGCTTTCTGTTGTCAATTTGCAAAAGGAAAGAAGGAAAGTTGTGATGTTTCCTAAGGGTCTTTCTTTGGGAGGTTTCCTCTATAGAGCCTAATGGGCAGTGAGACTGTGGCTCTCAGTGTCCTCTGTGCCCATGAATGCTTGGAAAGTTCTGGTGATTACAGCCCACCTTAAAGAGTACCCCCCCCACCACCACCAAGAAGGTCACAGCTGTTCAGAAAGGTGCATTTCATTAGTAGGCGGTGCTCAGGGCAGAGGACTGGGCCAATGAGAGGGAGAAAGTTCAAAGCAATATGGGTAGATTTGCAAGTCACTCTTACCAATGTGAACATTTTCTATCCAGTAATATAAAGAACAACTCAATTGTAACTATGTCTCCTCTGGTGTAAGTCACAGTGGAACAACTTTCTTGCCTGCAAAGTGCAACTCAGTTCCTTCCAATAACTTCTTTGCCTGAAAAGCACAACTCAATTTCATATAACAGGCTTCATGCCTGCAGTGTGCAGATCAATGCTATAGAGATCAGTATGAACCTCACTTTGGAGGTTTGTGCTGCTTCATATGTGTGGCACCACAGGTGCTGCTTGGTCCCTTCCCCTGCCTTCCCAGCCAGTGACCCACTCACCAGTCAGACCCGCTCCTCCTCCTCTTTGACTGTTCAGCCAGTCCCAGCAAGAGCATGGGCTTGACTGTCCTGCCTCCTTGTCTGAGTGGGCAATCAGCCAAGGAGGAAGGGCAGGGAAGCCTGTACCACTGCCAGAGACTGATGGAATAGCTGAAGAGGAGGAGGAGAGAATGTGTGCCAGCTGGTGAGTGGAGGATCCAGCCAGGGAGGTGTGGGAAAGGAACACATATCATTTGTGGTGCCACACATACAAACCGGCATGAACCCCTGAACTGAAATTCATGCCCATTAGAGATGGGGGTATTCATATTCGTATACGAATATGAATATCCCCCACAGGTGGAGATAATGAGGCTCCGGCCCCATGGGGCTGGACGGTCCATTCATGATTCCGCCACTGCTGCAACCACCGCAGAGCCTTCCAATGGCTCCAGAGATCACATTTGGCTCGCCATTCCTGACAGGAGGTGGAACGACAAGGCTCTCTGCTAGGTCGAAGAGTGGCTCACCGAACACGATCTCTGGAGCCATTGGAAGGCTCTGTGGTGGTCACAGCAGTGGAGCAATCATGAGTGGACCATCTGGCCCCATAGGGTTGGACCCTTGTTATCTCTACCTGTAGGGGGATACTCGTATACGAATACCCCCATCTCCAATGCCCATCTCTCTTTAGCTACCATTAAATACTTTGATTTTGGTAGTTGCAGTTTGGAAATAATAACAGACAAAGCATTTGACTCATTGCCCTGGGGATCCACAGTCCTGGGTTACAGGTTGAGATCTCATAGCTTCATCAGTGCTTGCATTTTTCAGAACCTATTCCAATATATCATTACTACATGCATTATAATCTTGATTTTCATTTTAATAATTTAGCTGTCCGTGTGTTGTTAACACACAATTCAACTAAGTGTTAATTCCTTTCTTATCACAAATTAATCTCTTATCATCTTCTTCATTGGGCCTTTTATTCTATACCATGTCAGTAGCTCTGGCATGGCCCTTGGAGTGGGTAGAAATTTCTCAGTAGTACTGTATTAGATGTAAAAACAAGTGAGCAAATTGAAATGGGAATATGATATGCCTTGAGTTGGGTTTTTTCTCCCACTGCCGTTGCCACGAGCCTTGTAGATGAATTTATAGGTGAACTGTCTTGTTTTGCCAGCACCAGACAAACAGTGACCTTCTCTTAGTTCAATAGAAGTGAGCTCATCTGCTCAGGTGACCTTCAGATAGAGAGAGAGAGAGCTTGGTTAGTAAACACCTTTGTTAAGTACCTTAGTTCTTCATCAACTTTCCTTCTTTCAGATTGCCAAGCAACAGCAACAACTTATCCAGCAACAACACAAGATCAACTTGCTACAACAACAAATCCAGGTAAAAAAGATGTTCTTTTTCATTTGAGCAGATCAAGGAAGGTTTTCTTAGTTGTGGTACTTTGACATTCCAAAGGAAAGGACTTGAGTTTGCCCCAACTTTTATTTTCAGATTAGGGTAGCAGTGTCACATTAATTTCTTTTTTTTGGATGTAAAAATATTGGCATAAAAATGGTTTAAGGTGGTGCCATGGTTAAGTCAATTGAGACTTTGAATATGTGCCTAAGGCTGCAGTTGTAAATCATTTATTTTGAGTTATGTCCCACTTGAAAGCCTGTCTCATTGAAAACAGTGGGATCTTAATATCTCTAACTTCAGATTTGTGTTTGGACTGAAGTTTCAGATGTTCCTCCAGTGTAGCTGAGATAATAACTCATTTGTACCTCCATAGATGAGTGGATACATGAACTAACCACCTGAAATTTATGTGCCTGGAAAGTGAGAAGGCCGTTTCCACAGTTTTGTTAATATTTACATTTTCACATCTTGGATTTTTGCATGTTTATTGGTTCTATTGTTTTTAAATTTTGTAATGCCACCCGGAGTAGACCATCTGTCTAGATGGGCGGTATATAAATCTAATAAAATAAATAAATAAAATAAATTTATCCAGTTGATACTGGATAGACTTCTCTAACTGTCTAATGTTGTTCCCCAAAGGTAATATTGCAAGTATCTTTCTCTTTCTCTTCCACTTCCCTTGTTCTGCTTCTTCAGCAGGTCAACATGCCCTATGTAATGATTCCAGCCTTTCCCCCCGGCCACCAGCCTCTTCCAGTCACCACAGATCCTCAAATGGCACTTCCCATTCAGCCAATCCCTTGCAAACCAGGTATGAAGAGGCAATGAAAACATGGAATTCTTAGTATTAAGACACAGTTTTCCTTGGTGTTTTTGTCTTGGGAACTGAAGACAGAATAATATAATGATTGAAACGGTGAAAGTCTGTGTTGATAACTGAGTTGGTTTCTTTGATTTCAATCAATAAGTCACAAATAAGTCAAAACACTTGGATTTAATGGGCTGTTTTCAGGTTGTATTACTTGCATATATATTACATTGAAATCAGTGTGAAATGAGTAAGGTAAATCTCATTATTCCCAGTGGGAAGAAATTTAGTCTGAATCCATCCTAATGGGCCAAAATAGGCCAAGGACTGATGTTCTCTTGCTGTCTGCTGCAGAAAACATGTAGCATGTGGAGAGGATATGGATATCCCCACACACTTGGAGAAGCACTGCAGAGGACTGTAATTGTTTAGCAGCTAAAATTTAGTTTTGTGCAAACCCTGTTTGATTAGCATAATTCTGAGAGTCTGGTACTTAGTTCTTAGGGTAGAAATCTTGGTTCCTTGGAATTGGTTGCTGAGCAAAAGATTTTAATTCCTGCTTAATTTTGTGCATGATCTTCTTTTGTTTCTCTATTATTTGTAGTTGAGTACCCCATGCAACTGCTACACAGCCCCCCTCCTTCAGCACTGAAGAGACCTGCAAGTTCAGGCCACCTACAAATCCAGGTGAAACTCCTGAACTGTTTTATTTGTTGGTTTCTGAATGTCAGAGGAGATGCGCTTCTTGTACCCTTTTTTCTTTTTCAGGAGTCTTCACAGCCGCTGAACTTAACAGCAAAATCCAAAGGCTCAGAGCTTCCCAATTCTTCCAGCTCACCTAGTTTGAAGATCAGCAACTGTCAGTCTCTTACTCCAAATCATGGACCTTCCCAGGAGCTGCAGACCAGCCCTCCCAGTCTTCCTCTAGGTGGGTCCAAGGAGATTTCTCTTTCATTGTTTCTAAGGTGGAATAAGGAATAATCATTCACCATTTGCATCATTGATGGTGAGTTTGTAAATGTACTCATTTGGGTTAGAACCAAGTGTCCATATTGGCTGGAGTATTCTGGGAGCTATAGTCAAAAAAGCAATTATTCAAGCTGTGCTCGAAAGAATTTCACCTGCTGTTGATTAGGAAAGGGTGTGAAGATTCTGTTTGGGATATTTTCCTACATTGTCATCATTGCACTAGAAAAAGAGGAGAATTGGCTTATCTCAGGGACAGAGCACATGCTTTGCATGCAATAGATTCTATCTGCAACATTCCTAGGTAGGGCTGTGAAATTGACTGCCTCTCTGTTTCTGGATGCTACTGAATTAGTTGGGGACCAAATGTGCAACTCAGAATAAAACAACTTATCCTGTTTAAATTTATTTTACTGCCTTTTAAGATGCATTTATGTTTTAAAAAATGAGAGTGCTTACTTGCAACCCCAGCGGTAACGGTTGGTTTTTACTCTACTGTTGAATCAGAATACAGTACTAGAGAAAGTTGAGGGCAGGAGGAAAAAAGGAAACCAAATATGAGCTGTGTTGGCTCAATAAAGGACAGCTTTGACTTTGCAAGGTTTGAGCAGGCCTATTAACAACACGAATACAACAACACGACCGTTTGGAGGTCACTAATTTATAGGGTTGCCCTAAGTCAGAAGCAACTTGACATCACAAAACAGCAACAAATGGATCAGAAAATGCCATGGAAAACTGCTTCTGTTCAAGAGCTATATATTTAAGATACCCACAGGGGAATTTAGCATTTGATCCAAATGCTTACCCAAAAATAGACAATGGAAGGTGGACTCTTTTTTTCTCTCTTTTTAACTGTATTATGGAGGAAGTGGGATTCTGGTTTGTGGTAGTAACAGCACAAACTGAACCAAGCAGTGTTATTATTTCTAGATAAATGGATGCAGAGTACATGGAGGTGATTTAATGTATTTTTGAATCAGCTGGGCACAATCTGCAGTCTCACAAGGACTGCTGAGAAGTGAAGGAACAAGATAACAAACAGAACAATCTTATTGTAGGCAAAGGAGAAAAATCCATAGAGGGAAAACCACTAGTTCCTAAGTGATGTTGGGCTTATAGCAGCCAGGGCATAAAGAGAGGAGGAGTTCTTGGGTTTTGTGCAAAATTTCCCTCCCTTTGTTTCTAGTAAGAGGAAAATACATTTTAACAACTCTGGGGCTGATAGTGTTTCCCCCTATTCCAGAGATATGTCTAGAATGAAGGGGCTTGGTATGTGGATTCTGAAATATCACTGGAACACCCCATCCTCCAGCTTTTAATATCAGTAAAGCATAGCCAGCAGGGAAGTCTCTGTTAGCACTGGAGGATATTGTCAGCATCCAGTGGCTCCTGGGACATTCTCACCATTATCCTATTGCCCTGGAATCATTTTAACATCAATCTTAATTTTTCTGAAGAGAAGTTTCTCATGATTCTAACAGAGGATTAATTGGGAGTTCAGAAAGATTATAGATCCAGGATTGCGGGTGAAGAGATATATCTCTGTACAGAAACAATATCTTCTTTCCCCCGTAGAACTTTATGAAAGGGGAAAATCTTTGCAAAGTTGTGAGATGTTGTCAGTTGGCCATATTATATTCATGTTGCTATTGCTATGACTTATTACCAACGGCTGCTCTTATTACTACTGTTTGTAGGGTTCCTTGGAGAGGGGGACGCTATCACCAAAGCAATTCAGGATGCCCGACAACTTTTGCACAACCAAAGCAGAGCAACAGATGGCTCTCCAAATCATTCCTACAGGAAGGTCAGAAGTTCTGCAGTTACTGATGCTGTTTTTTGGAGCGGTATTAAAGGGACGGGATATTAAGAATGTGCATTCTGTTAACCCCCAGGCACCAGTATGGGAACTCTTGGTTCCCCAAGAGTCATATTTTGTTGCAGTATCGACATAAAATGAGACTTGAAATAGGGTCATTTCGCACCATTATCACCTAAAGAGTTGTAAACTGTCTTGCCAAACTTCAGCCACTTGCAACATACAGATGTTTTAGGAGGCAGGAGTTACCAACAGAAAATGGCTTGGACGAAAGACATGCCAAATAGGTTATCTATCTGTTCCTACCTATTAGGACAAAAAGTATCCTGTGCTGTTTTCCAGTGGACTTTAATGCCAAGAAACAGATATTGACTGAAGTGTGTAACATCGGCTGGCCTCATCCAGGATGCATATTGGAATTCTTGATGGGTTAAACAGGTGTACCAAAAACCTCCTATAAACTAGAGTCCTAAACATAATGCTAGCTCTACTGCCAATCCTCTATAAACTTGTTCCCAAATTGACCTGGGTCAAATTCTCCCAGGTGTTTTATTATCCTGTTGTATGTTGCTTAAAAGAGGTTGACAGGGAATCCAAATTTTCACAAACTAGATTTGTGTAATTCTAGTATGGAAATCATATATATATGATATATATATACTTCTGTCTGTAAAGAAAGTGATTGGCATTTAGGTTTTTGAGAGTTACCTTTGAGAAATAGCGATCAATAAAATTCTCCAGAACCCAGGTTCCCTCTAAGCTGCAAATCCATCGCCCTCTGCACAGCATTCCTCCCCCTCTGTGCACCCATAGCAAGTGTTTCCAGCCCCTTTGGTTCTGGTTGCAGCGGAACCCTATGTGTGTGTGTGTGGGGGGGGGGGATGCAGTCATGCACAAGAGGAGCAGAGCCTAGCAGGGCTAAAAATTAGAGGGAACCTTGTGCAGGACCAATTTAAAATAGTCTTGCTTCAGATGAGTTGCTAGGGGCATAATTTGGATTTGGGCTAGATTTAACTAATTGTAAGTTTGCACAGTTAAATTGGACAGTTTCTTGTCAATGCCACATTATCAGAAACAGGACATGACCTATTGGCCTCTCAGCACTTTTTTCATGCAGTTAGAGAACACGAGATTGGGTTGCAGCCCAAATGACCATGGAAGCCCTCCCAACCCCATCCTTCCCTTTACCCCCCAGCATTACAAACAATAGGATGGGATGATGCTGTAGCCAAAATGCAAAACCACTGACACTAAGATCCTTGAGATATGCTTACTAGAACACCAGAAGCCCTACAAGGGTATTATTTTCCCAGAGTAGCAGCCCTCACAGGGCAGTTGTAGCCCTCACAGGGCATTGTCAGCTAGCAGGTAAGGCAGGGGTAGGCAGTTTTCCAGGGTCAATATAAAGGGATCACATCTGCGCCACCAAGATTGCTGTTGCAGTGCTCACTATTGTCATAACTGCACCAAAACTGCAGGGCTCTCTGGTACAGAGGATGCAGAATGGAGTGCCAGAGTGTTTCCCTCACTTCTGGAAGGAGAGACAGAGAAGGCCTCCTTCCATACCATCAAACTTCAATAATATACTTCTGTTGATGGTGACAGTAAATTTGGTTGGCAGAAGACCCCCCAGATCACCAGAAGGATTTCATGGGAACTATAGGCTGAATGTTATAGGGAAAGAGCTGAGTAATCATGGGGCTGTCGCTTGAACCAAACTAATTTATATACATCATTGGGAAGGTTTAGAATTAGTTCATAATTAGTCTGGAAATAGGGGTGGGTGACTACAGTAGGGCTGAGGGACTTTTTCCAGATTTGGCAGGTTGTACATCAGAGGAGAAGGGGCTAAAGGGAAGGCTATTATTGAATAGACTGATTTGTGTATGTATTCTTTTTATTGTTTTTAAAAAAGTCATTACAATGGCATTTGTTACCTGAAAAATAGATTTAACTCTGACACTTTAACTTTAAAAAAGTTTTCTTAATCTTTTTTTTGTGGTTTTGTTTTTTGTTTTTTTGTTTTTTGAAAAGTGAGCAATCCCTTTTCAGCTCTAATGGTTAAAACCATAATACATATGTTGGAGGGATGAAAAAGTTTTTTAATCTTTTTTTTTGTGGTTTTGTTTTTTTGTTTTTTGATAAGTGAGCAATCTCTTTTCAACTCTTATGGTCAAAACCATAATACATATGTTGGAGGGATGAGGAGCCTCAGGTGTGCTGGCTGGGGCCCCTCAAAACGTGGCAAAATTGCCCTCCATGTACACAGAGAGGACAAAGAGACTTTCTGAGGAGAAAAGGTGTGTTTCTCCTCCCCCCTAAGAAAAAAAGCTTTTACAATTTGGGGGGATGGTGAGGAACTGCAAAATACCAGGGGGGAGGGAAGGTACTGCACATAGCCAGTGGGTGCATTTTGCCTGTTCCTGTTGTAGATATTTTGAATTGGAAACCATTGCATTGGGAACTCATCAGTTGCAGACTTTAGGTGCATCATTAAACAGAACAGAACTAATAAATGTTCTGCTGAAGAACTCCATAAAGTTGTTTATAACTGAGCCTACTATAGGTTTTTTTAAGTGCCTGCAGAAACCATCCTGAATTTTGTTTGTACAATGGGACTTCCCTTTAAAGTAGAGTACTGTACATATATTTTTCCCTCCCAAGTTCCTTTGTGCTGTAGATCATAGTGTATATTGGCTGTTGTTTGATCTTTTGCTTTTCCACAAAGGAGCACTTTTTCAATTCTTTAGCCCAGTGTTTGGGGCTTATTATTCTGAAAGGTCAAATGAAGCCATTCTTTTCGGACCTCTGGAATAACAGAAGTTGAAGAGTTTTACTCTGTTTCAACTTAAAACAAATGGCATTAAATGCTTCTATGGAAGAAACTGCTAACTGTCCCTCAGAACTTGCTTGCACTTACCATACGCAACTGTTCATGTTCCTCTGTGGTTTCAGGACCATGCTAGCATGGATTCTTCACCTGCAAAAGAACAGATAGAAGAAACATCTTTGCAGAGACTGGATGAATCCGTGTTAACCTGTGATGGGGATGGTAATGACTGTTGTCCTTCTTAAAAATTTGAGCTCTTTCCCCACTGTCAGTATCTCCATGGCCCAATAATGAGGAGAAGGGGAAATTTGCAAAAGAAAGTGTTTTATTTGAATAATGAGATTTTTTCCCCAGTGAAGCTGAGAACTCATTACTTCCAATAACTCTGCAGGTTCTTAATTTCACTACAGCTGTGTATATAAGTACAGCATGGTAATGGTCTTAACAGTGGCAGTTAATTGTTGTTTAAAGAGTCCTGTTACCTCCCAAGGACTATTAGGCAGTCTTTCACAAAAAGCAACAATAGGTGTACATTAAGGCGATCACTATGCTGGACATTTTCCATTTCTGTGTCAATTCACATCCCCCACCTCCTCTCTGTGTATATCTAAAAATCTGTCTACGGAGGCTGTCTTCCATGCATCTGGAAAACTGAGCTACCATCCATGGAAGCTTTTCCAAATAAAACTTATTAGTCTAGAGGTGCTTTCAGACTCTTTGTTGTTTTTGGTGTTGTTTCATAGGCCTTGGGGCCCAACAAAGGAGGATGCTGAGGGCGCTTTTCTCAAACTCTCTTACCTTTCATCAGTTATTTTTAGCTGAGCTTTCCAGTGGCTTTTCAACCTCTGTTCCTTGGTCATTTCTGCACAGGGTCAAGGCATTTCCCAGAATCCAGAAACAACAATCACATAAAGCGCCCCATGAATGCATTCATGGTGTGGGCCAAGGATGAGAGGCGCAAGATTTTGCAGGCTTTCCCAGACATGCACAATTCAAGCATCAGTAAGATTCTAGGTAAGACAATGTACACAGGCAAATGCCTTTTAGTTCTATTTCCCCTGGTTTTGAGTGTTTCTGTCAAGCATACTGTTAGCTCTTTATGCCCTCAGGCAAGAAATTATTGCTAATCTTATGCAGGTTATCAGCAGGTTTTGCTTTGACAAAAGAACAAAAGCACATCTTTACTCTTCTTTGGTCTGATTCTTCAGATTCCATACCTGAACAAGAAACACAGATGTGAACGTTTTAAAAAGAAAAAGAAAAGAAAAAGAGAAAAACCACATGAGCAGAGAGGAAGTTAAGGCTGGCTCTTTCTCAGGGAGCTGAATATATGGCTGTGGTCATGGGCCTTTTTTTTCAAGCTAATGATACAAATACAAGATTAACACTGGTCTAGAGGAGATGTTCTCAACCTTCACTGTCATTTATGAAGTCAGGTATGCTGCCTGTCCCGGTCAGGGTTTAGAAAAAGTGCCTTTTTGGGCTGTGGCACCCAGAATCCACTAGCTGGCAGCTATATTGAATGAGGGATTCTGGGAGTTCCTTTGGATACCTAGCAGATCTCAGGGGGCAGGTTACAGGGAGATCGCTTGTACATACTGTGCGGGCAAGCTGTTTCCTTTGTCTCAGAAGAAAACAGCACGACCGGTCTTTGTTGTGCTTGGATCATTTGTTTGAGGCCAGAGGATGGGGGAAATAGGGGTTTGTGGCTCAAGAGCAGAATGTTGGGCTGGAATCCCTCACTGTGGACTTGATGGGAAGCAGATGGAATATAGATTGGTATCAGTCCAAAGAACTTGGCCTTGAAAATGTGGTTCACAGAAGAAAGACCTCCAGCAGTAGGGCAGGGCTGGAGATTGTCTGGCCCTCCAGCGGCTTTTTTGGACGGGAACTGTCACCAGTCTTGGCCAGCATTGCTGGTGGTGAGGGGTCATGGGGACTGCATTCTCACCATTTGGGGGGATATGCATTTGCTACCCTGACAGCAGCATATACTCTTTCTTCCGAACCAGGTTCCCACATTAAGGTGCCTAGAATGAACGTTGAAGTTCACAGGTTTGCAGCGATCGACTGATCAAAGATATCAACAAAAGCATGAGCTTGCATTTTTGGCCCTGTTCAGCGGGCATTTTAGTCTCCACTAACTAGGTGGCAATGTGCAGAATGCCAGTATTCATTCTTATCAACCTGCAGGATTATCTTCAAAGCCTATTGTCGCTGGGCAAAAAGGGTGTCTCTTTGCCAAACCAGTCTCAGTGATAAAGACAGCACAATTATTTAGGCCCATTGAACAGGGTAAAGAGGGTGAGGGTTGAATCTGTTTAATTTATTATTTAATTTATTATTCGTTGCTTAGATTTACGTTCTACTGAGCTCAAGCCAGCATTCATTCATTCATTCATTCATTCATTCATTCATTCATTCATTCATTCATTCATTCATTCATTCATTCATTCATTCATTTATTTATTTAATATCTCACCTATCTGGTCTTACAACCACTCTAGGCAGCTTTACTCTACATGGCTTTTCTCCCTCCCATTCTGTCTTCACAGTAACCCTTTTGAGGTAGATCAGGGTTTACGTCTGTTTAGTAGGGCTCTGAACCCAGATATCCCAAGTCCAAGCCCATACTTCTGAAATAGTGGTTGACAAAGTACAGTCTGTGAGGCATGTATACTTTCCCTCAAGAACCCGTATGTGCCCTTCAGCACCCTCCCTTATTCCTCAACAGTTTAAATTAAACAACACAAAAAGCTCCAAAAATCATGTCTCTCTGGGGGGAGTGGAAGGCAGTTCTATGATTTTTTTTTCTCTCCTCCTGAGCCCCCATTTGCCCAATCTAATGTTTAAAAAATAGGCTGTGAGAAGGCCTTTTTCAGTAGATGTTACTGAAAAAGGCCCTCTAATGGCCACTTTTTCCAAGGTCCAGGAGTGGACCTGTGCCACCTTTGAATTTTTAGAAGCTGCATACCTCTTCTTTAAAGTTCTGTGAACACTGCCTCATGAAAAGGGATCTTGTAGGGAGTGATGGGAAGCATATTACGAATTCTCTGGGTAACCTGTTAAAACTACCATGGCAGATACTGGGCCATTTAGACAGATCTCTGGTTAATACTATCCATACTAAACAGTTTTCTAATCAGCTGTGCTGCACTAGGCTAATACATTCCCTGTATCAATTCTACCATTAGAAATACACAAGGAACATTTGCTTAAAATAATTGCATTGTGCCAGACTGAAACATATAACCACAAACCATTAGTATAACCAGCTGATATACTATCTTGACGGAACTAGATGAGAATTAAAATCCATTCTCTTAAGGATTTTTGTAGAGATTGAGCTCTGTTGAAATTAGTGGGATGTTTCCAAGACATGGCCTGAGAACTGGAGTATGAAACTAATGGTTATGTCTAAACCAAGGAAAAGCAACTTGCAATGTTTTTGCATGGCAGCTCCCATCATCTTTCTTCAGTGGATGTGCTGGCCAGGGCTGAGCTAATGAGAATCATTGTCCAGCAAACATCAGGAGGGCTACAAGTTGTCCATTCCTGCTGAAGCAACCTGTTGTTGATCTGTCATCGCAGAAAACTTCCATCACCCTTCAAGTAGATATCCAGTTTTCTGTATTTTACAGGATAGTGTAGTCAGATGGTCTTTCTAATCCAGGACAAATTATTTTCCCCTGCTGAATGCCATAAAATACTATGGTTGCATCCTTCATAATCTTGTTCCTGATGCTTTTGTCTTGATTCAGTATACACTACAGGTAAAGGCAATAATAGCAAGTCAGTCAATCAGTGATGTTCATGCAGCCAAACACCACAACAAATATTTTATATAAAAAAGAAATATAACAAACAGTTTAACTTATGTTGGAACATCTAATATGTACACTCTCTCTCTCACACACACACACACTCTTTGTGTGTGTGTGTGTGTGTGTGTGTGTGTGTGTGAGAGAGAGAGAGAGAGAGAGGCAAAATAACCTTAAAGGCTATGCATAACCAAAGCCTTGCAAAGTATATCAGCATGAAAACACACAACATTAGAATGGACAAAATAGTATTGAATCTTTTTGCAGTAACTGAGTCGCTTTTTGAGTGATTGCCTTGTACTTATCATTCAGAAGAAAATCAATGCATGGCAATTATCTCTTTTAGCAAGGTTGTAAGCCACAGGAGCTTGCCTGTAAAGGGCCAAATATTAACAATAACAACATGTTCTGCTGTGTTCCCTGCTGAAATCTTAGTTTGCAGCCAGTCCAAGTATACCAATCTGGAGGAACCATAATTTTTTTAGCCTGAAAGTAAAAGGCCTATTATGATTATTTTCAGCATACATGGCACTGCTGGCTAACTCAAACAAACAAACAAAACAAAACAAACACAAAACAAAACAACAACAGTAAACTACTTGGTGTTGGGACATCTCTAAATGTTAACAGTGTAGGAGCCAATGAGAAATGGGGAATGGAGAAAGAAACACCTTCCTTAATTATACAAAGCAAGCTCTGCCAGATCTTATTTCCAAAATCTTATTGGTGATTTTGCAGTCTTATACCATGGAGCAAACAGTGACATGCTGTATGTTCTTCAGCCTGAATATCAATATTGTGTCTTGTAATTTGTCCTTGCTTAGAGACAGAGCAAAAGAGCCTAGCTATAATACACATGTAGTATGCCTTTGATGTAGTGGAGAGAGTGATGGATTAAGACTCAGGAGACCTGTTTTCAAATCTCCACTCAGCCATGGAAGCTCACTGAGGGTAGAGGGTGGAACTGGTAAAACTACTCTTTAAATATCTCACTTATCTTGAAACCCTAAGTCAGTTCCAACTTGAGACTATATAACACAACCTAATAAACATGTCTTTGAATGCTCCCCTACCATTTTGAGGATAAACCAGGACCATAAACCCCTTGTTTAAAATGTAATTTGAAGATTGTTCCAATAAGTATATTTTGAGAAGCTATATTATCTTCTGGCAATTGAAGCATAGCCCAGAAGTTAAATAGAAGATTATGAATGTCGCCTACTAAGTTGAACAAGGCTGTTAAGGAGTAGCAATTTGTAGATGCAGCAGGGAAGACTAGATGTATGCTTTATCCCAAAATCTAGGAGGTGGCACCTACCTTGATCTGGCCATGAGCCACCTGTGAAAGTGCTAAATAGTGATCATGCATTGCAATCCTTTACTCAGAAGAAAGGTTGGCTGATTTACTTTCAAGTAAATGGAAACAGGGTTGCAGTTCAAAATACATACTTTGGGTTTCTCAATCTCCATGTACTTTTTTCTGATTTCTTCGTCTACTGTAGGGTAGTGAGTGGAAAGTTTAATAAAACAATACAAAAAAAGGTGTCATATTCCGCAAATAAAAATAAGTCCTCAACACTGGTGGTGGTCCTTCAACCTGATATGCATCTCCCACACCCTAGCCTCATGTTCAGCTGCTGTTTCACTATTGCTAGCTCAGCTTGGATGGTTATGTGGTCTTTGAAAAGCTCATCCATTCTGGTGCGAATGAAAATGCAGTGGGGTTTGTGGTTGTTCTTAGCATGTTTAATTTGGGCTCATGCATTGTTGCTAAAATAGGGCTCCTATCTCTGAGATTACGTTGAGGATCCTTGTGCTGGGTTGTCTATTTAATCATGCAAGGCTACAGTAACCAGTAGGATGAATTAATGCTTAGAGATCTGCATTATTTTCATGAAGTATACTCAAGAGCTTATGAAGGGGAAGGGAGTAAGCAACCTGGCACCTTTGTGGACTTGATGGCTGACTACAGTTACAAGTGCTGACATTTATGAATGCTCCCTAATTGTTTTCTTAATCCTCTCCATTGGGTAGAAACTAGGACATTATGAAGAAAGGTCTGCTTGCTGTTCTAATTTTTATTTGCAGAGGTTTTTTTAATTTAAAAAGGATATGTTAGGAGAATGTAAAAATGGTATTCCCTCACTATGATTTGGAAGTAGTATACTCTGTTCTATGGTCTCTACCACCTTGTTTTTTTACAGGGATGCACACATCTGTGTTCTGCAAAAAGAAAGAAGTAAAGGGGTTTTGTTTTGTTTTGTTTTTGAGTTTACTTAATAATTTATGTTAAATTTATTTATTTTATTTATATGCTGCCTTTCTGTCCCTAGGGACTCAAGATGGCTCACAATCAGTTAAAACTACACAATAATAACCTTGAAAAACACTATAAGACTCAACACTAAAACAGAATTAAATTTATAACAATATTAAAAAAAACACCATTAAAATATTTTTAAACATTTTAAAAACATTTTTTAAATTTTTAAATTTTATTAGAAAGTTGGGGTGATGATTCAAGAAACTGTAGAATCAGTTCAGTTTCTGAGAGTTCTTGACCAAGTACACTTGTCCAGGTTTGTTTAGCTATTTATTTGATATATTCTGTGCTCTTTAGTGTCACTAAAGTAATTTTAGATATCTCTTCCTCTTCACTGATTCATTCATTCCTTGGTCTACTGCTTGGGTGAAACCTTCCATATCTCTCCAGCTTGCATTCCTCCTAGCCTGCAGTCTGGTGGGAATGACAGTAAAGGTCAAACAGCCTAGGGAATTCAAATTACACTGCAGGGGAGTCTATTTTAGCTGTTGCACCTGCTCACCATACCTTGTGCTGTGAAAGAATCCAGAGATTAATGTAGGAAGGTGAGTAGAAAGGTCAATAGGAGGGTGTAGTCCTAATTAGCAATGTGTGGGTTGCTAGTCAAGAATGGGAAAGATTACCTTATTTGAACTACAGCTTGCCAAAGACCCCAGCCAGCATGGCTACAAGGCATGCTATCTGCAGTTTTCTGCATCTTTTAGCCAAACTAGTAATTTTTTCCCTTTCTTCTGCCAGTTCATAATGGCACTGGACTCTTCTATTTATATGGGGGAAAAGAGCCAAAGAAAGTTCTGTATTTCTCTGGACGTCCACATTCCCATTTTTCTGCATTGACATTTAGATCCTTTAGAATCCTTTAGATCTTGTTGCTTAGTCAATATTCATGCTATGATTTGAAATGTGTAGTGCATCTTTTTAACTATAATCAGGGCCCTAACTGGAGCAGGAAAACTAGAGTTATGTCATAGGATGCTGAATTTAGAGAGAATGCCCCATTCCCAGTCACCCACAGGGAAAGCACCCCTGGCTAGACTGGCTCGGTGACCTGGTCTACCACCATGAAGGGGGGAAAAAACTGCAAATTTCCAGCAGGCTGATTGAGGAGCAGTGGACAGGTGGTGAGCCTCACTGAAGCTGCTGAACATGGGTCTTGCCAAGGCTTCATAGACCAGGCCTCTGATCCAGATAAGCAGGAGGCAGCAGCATCCAGAAAGATGACTGGCGTATCCTTATTATGGGTACACCAAACCTTCCCTGTTGGAGGGCAGGACACCCCAAGGCTGAGAAGGCTAGACTTCTGGGCTGGACAGGTGTGTGTGCACATTTGATTTGATTTTGTTTTTTATATCTGTGGCAGTGCTGTTGATCTTCTGTGGAAGAAGGGAAGATGCTATCAAGTGTTCAGTGCTGTAATTGCTTCTTGTATTGTTTTTACACCATGAATTAATAAAGTTGATATAGGGGTGCATTTTGTGCTATTTGTTGCAGGTTCCAAAATTGCTCATTATGGATCAAAATTGCACAGAATCTCAAACTTAGTGCACATTAGAAACAGTCCTCTTTTCCGGATTGATCATGAGATATTAAAAATGAAGACATCTGGGGGAATTCCTCTGGGAAGGAGTTCTCAGTATATTTACTTTGTAAATAGGGATGTAATACATTGTTGAGCAAAATCCTATTAAGTATGCCTGTGAGTGTAACGCAAAAAGGAGTAACTTTTGATGGCAAATTGCCACACATTAAGGAATCAGCATGGATATTGTCTGTTGTGTGCAGAGTACCATGAGTCATTATGCAACAGTATATGTCTATTCTACGCCGCTTGCGTTACATCAACATAAAATGATGATAGGATTTTAGCAATTTTTCTTATTGTTAAAAAGTATGCATTTATGATCTCAACAAATAGGCAAAGCATTCTATACTAACAGAAACAATATCATTTTTTAAAGCCAGTAAAATCTTATCAAGGATGGGGCCAGTGGTCTGACTTTTCTAGAGAGGGGATTTTATAATTGAGGTGCCATTGCAGAGAAAGCACAGGTCATACCTGCAAGCCTTGTATCCAGCTGGTTTGTAAAACAGTTGAATATCTTCTTGCTGTTGGGTTGGATTCTGAGTGCAAGGGCTTTAGAGGCTCCTCCCCCTGTTCCACAGTTCTGCTGATCTTCCACAGGGAGTGGAAAAGTCTCTTGTCTTAATCTGTATCCACTGCATGATCTTTTTGGAGAGATTATTTTAGTCTTGGAAGACTAATGACTTAATCTGAATTTCTCATCTTGGATTTAGAAATATGAATTGTCAGCTCACCTGTTTGGTTTTGGGTCTCCTGTTCTCCTTTCTTCCCAAAGAAAAGCACCCTTTTCTTCATTAAGATGCAGTGTTTTCACTGAATGCAGGACCGACAAGGGCTGCTGAAAACAAACATGGCAGCTGAACACCCCTCTGCTTTCTCTGTTGCCTTTCCCCCCTTCTTTGCAGGTTCTCGGTGGAAATCCATGTCAAACCAGGAGAAGCAGCCCTACTATGAGGAACAGGCACGGCTCAGTCGTCAGCACCTGGAAAAGTATCCCAATTACAAATATAAGCCTCGCCCAAAGCGCACTTGCATTGTAGAAGGGAAGCGGCTCCGTGTGGGTGAATACAAGGCACTGATGAGGAACCGGCGGCAAGACGCCAGGCAGGGCTACCTGATTGCGTGAGGCTCCCTACCCCTTTCCTCCCAGTTGCTAGCAAGCACAGCCCTTTGAACAAAGAACTCCCTCAAGCTAAAAGGCAGCTGCTTTGGGAAGGCAACGCAGCCTATGCTTTGCCAGGGACCCTTAGGTTAGCTCAGGTTGAGAACTGTGGTCCTTGGAGATATAATTCTCCCTGTGGGATAGACTAAAACTATTTGGGATTTCTCCCTCTCCAGAGTGGTCTCTGAGGGGCACAAAAACAACCGTGGTGTGTTGAAGGCCACTGTGTGATTCTCAGCTTTGCTCAGCTTGGAAATGTTGTATAAGAATTCCCAGAATCCTTCAGCCAGCATTCTGGGAGTTATCATCCAAAACATTATTGCCCCCAAACTATGAGCACAATATGAGTTTTGGAGTTGTTCATGTATCCCCATCAGAGCTGGGACCAGCATAAGCTTTTGGGTTATCATTATGGAGAAACATAAACCTATATTATTTGAAAATTTCTTTTCACTGCCAAAGATGTCACCAATTTACATGGACCCCTCCGAGTCATCCTGAGCCAGGGGCCTTAACTTTAATCACCTCCAAGCCCTCATGGATTTTGGAGGATCACACGTGATTAAATGCTTTGCTGGATCACATTGGCATCTATGGCATTTGACGGGTGGCCGGCAGGCCTGAAAGCCTTTCTGGATCTACAGAGGGAATTCCTAGTAATGCTTGGCAGTTAGACATGGGGATGAATCTAACAATGAATCACAATATTCAGTGAATATAGCTGATTTGTCACATATTCGTTGCCTTGTATTCTTGAGGTCCAGAGACCCCAACAAATATGAAGCAATGAATATAACCCTTTTATATCCGTCCCTTTGTCTATCCCTCTCTACTTATGCCCCCGTGGATTAGCTGTACTTCAGAGGCATAGGCAGAAAGGGGTTTTCCCTTTGGGTGGCTTGTTAAAGCCTGCTCCAAGGGAATCCCACCCCCTGTTTACAAAGATGGGGGGGGGAATATCTCTGCTCAGGCTTTCCCTGTCTTTCTATGACCCTGCAGCATAGACAGGGGAAGCCTGATCAAAGGAATTCCCCCAGCTGTCTTTCCAAACAGTGGGGCGGGGGGGGGAGGAGGAAGAGATCACTTCAGTAAGGCTTCCCCAATCTTTGATCAGGCTTCCCTATCTTTCTATGCCTGGGTGGGCATAGAAATACAAGGGAAGTTGGATCGAAGCGATCCCTCACCCTGCTGTCTGTGCAAAGACAGGAGGGTAGAGGATCACTTGGGTCAGGTTTCATCTTTCTACGCCCCTGGGACATAGATTGGGGAAGGCTTATGAAGTGATCTCTCTCCCCCTCCCCCCCGGTTTGGAAAGGCAGTGTGGGGGGGAATTGCCTCCATCAGGCTTGCCCAAAGGGAAGCCCTCCCCACTGCTCCTAGCAAAAGCTAGGCTCCTGGAACTGAAACAGTGGTTCCAGCAGTCTGTTTTGGTGGAAGCCATTGCAGAGCAGGGGGAGGTAGCTGGGCAAGGTATGTGACAGTGGGAAGGGGAGCTTTTATTTTTAGATCGTCTCATGGGCTGTCTGATAAATTGATTATTGGTTCATAAGGCCACTGGGAGTGAAATTTGTGGTTCGTTAAGTTTGACGACCCACGAACCAAGACAAAGCATAATTTTAATGCTTCATCCCCATCTCTATTGGCAGTTTGTGTTACGTGATGGTAGATAGCTAATCCATTCCAGTTCTATCCACTAGAGAGCAGTATTACACAAACACCAGCCAATGCATTGGGGAATCTATCCCAGAACTTGAGATGGGTCCTTTCTTGGCCAATCTTGCTGGAGGATTCTGGGAATTGAAAGCCAAGAAATGAATTTTTGTAACCTCTGACCTTCTATTCCCATGTGAGGAAGTGGGGTGTACATTGGTGGTAGCAAAAACACGAATAAATGAAAACTAGGTAGACTAAAGGGGACAGAAGAGAAGTCCATGCTCTTTAAAGCACGCTGTTCTTTTTCTCCTAGGCCGCAGGGCAGCCAGAGGCCACCCTCCTCTTCAGATCTCATGTACCAACATTCGGTTGGAATTCAGCTACCTCCACCCCTGATGGATCACTACTTGCCCCATGGCATGGAACCCAACATGCCAGTCATTATCAACACGCGAAGCCTGAAGCCAGAGGAAGGGGATGGGGATGGGGCTGAGGACAGCCATTTGGTGCCCGATGGGGAGATGTACCACTACAGTGAAGAGGAGGACTCAGAGGGCGAGGACAAGAGTGACAACGAGTTGGTGGTTCTCACAGACTGAGCCAATGGTGTGTGCAGGGTGGGATGGGGATGATGGGTAGGGCATTTCTGGAAATGGCTGGTGAGGAGTTCCATCAACTTTTGAGGTCTTTTGAAAGAAGGAACTGGATGGGAAGGAAGTCCTGGAGAGTTTCGTTCAGGCTGTCTGACTTGGGTAAGTCAGAGGCTACTCTAGACTCTCCTGCATTGTGGTCAAAAGTGACTGAGAAAGGTGGCAGCCAAACCTGGATGGTTGTACAGGGACTGCTCCATCTATAGATGGTCACAGGTTCGATCCTCCGTGGCTTCACTGGGAAATATATTGTCCTGAAGGGTCAGAGTAGACAACACTGGATTTGATGGGACAGTGGTCTGGCTCAGTTTAAAGCAGCTTCATCTGTGTTGAACACAAAGATGAACGTGAAAATAATGAAGGGAGGCCAATGTGTCTACTAATCATGCTCTTCCTTCTCTTTCTGTATCTTGAAAACCTAGTGTGTAGCCAGCTCAACTGAGTCCTGTACCTGTTCACAGCCTGACCAGCTGCTCCAGCCTATAGGAGCCCCACACAGTTGCCAGCATTCAACCAATCTCTCTGGGGCCTTTCCAGTTTGCAAAAACCAAATATCCGGGTGGAACACTTGTTCTCTCTTTGTTCCGGATGTCAGCCAGTTTTGCTACACCCCCCCTTCACTTTGTCCTGTGTTTGTTTCTTTCTACTCCCACTGGCTCTGCCAGTAAATTCCCATGGAGCCATTTTTAGCTCTGGACTTGAATGAATAACAACTGAGAGGTCCCAGAGGGGCCCTCTATACCCTTGGCAGCCCTAGCCCAGCTTGTAAATTAAGCCACTGCCCATTTTCCCTCCTGTACTTGTTTGCTTGCCAGTTCTCAGTATGCACAGCAGGAGAGGCGGCCCAGAGACAGTGGTGGCAGCAGCAGCAGCAGCAGCAGCAATCTGACTAGCTTCTCAGAGGACAGATCATACAGCTTCTAGTGTATTTGGGGGAGAAAGTGGGAATTCCCTTTGGAGGTGACTGAATGAGTTATTCTGACTATTATAAGACTGGTAGGATTATCAATCATTTCTGAAAGTTCATTCTCCCTCTTCCAAGAAACATCATAACTGCAACCCAAGTAATCGCACAAATACTCTTGAGTTTGAACACATCTGTGTTCAATAGTGTCTCCTGCATCCCTCTTACCAATTTATTCTCTCCATTATCCTCTTTTGACATTGGCACTAACACTCCTGGTATTGATTTAAATTAGCTAAACCTGGGATGGGCAGACAGTGGCACCTCCTGGTAGATGCTTAGGAGATCAGCAGGCTTTCTGACACCAAAATGGCTTAACAGTAACAGCAGTGCTGAAATGAGAGAAGCGTAGGGTAGGCAGGAGCAAACATTTGTTGAAAGAGCCAAAAGTTCAGACACTTTTGAAAAACAATTTTCTAAGTTCATAACGTGCTTGGAGATGCTATGTTAATTTATTCTAAATTACTTTCACCTTCCTCTGGTTACTAAGTCTTGGGGTCCTAATTTAAAAAAAAGACAACAACCCATAAACAAAAACAGAGTAGATTGAAGAAACTTAATTTGTTCTTTAATCAAATTGTTCATGGCCAGTGAGTGAAGAATGCTTAATGTTAACATATGAAAAATGGCTAGAAGGCCAGTGGCATGGAAGGAGGTAAAGGGGATGTGGAGTCCTTTTTCAAAAAATGAGCGAGCAAAAGTGTGTGTTTGTGCACTTGCATATGTATTTACACACAATCCCTTTCCCCATATTTTGTCTTCACATCATCACACTTAGATGACCATTTTAAACTTTTTGTCCATTTAAGCTGACCTTGACTTGTTCCCTAATGAATATTGCTGCAGCATATAGTAGCAAAATGCTTTAAAGTCTCAATGTGGAAGGCTTTTGCTCCCTGCTGGAAGAAGCTGGAATGGCACCAAGACAGCTAAAGTGGTGAAGGTCCGGCTTTACTTTGTCACATCTATGTAATCTACTTTTTTTTGGTGGTGGGAGAGACAGGAATATAGCTTACTCCATTTTTTGGATGCAGGGCCAGCCATATTAATGCAACCTATAAAAGTTTATCAGGGTGCATGCATACTGTAGCTTTTCAGTTTAGATAAATAAAATGGAGCAGGAAAGGAAAAAAAAAGAAGAGGAAAATTGTTTGAATGGAAATATCTCATTCCAAAACCACTGCCCACTTCCATTTCTAATATGAATGAGACCTATTTGCAGGAAAAGCTCCAAGTCATTTGCAAAACCATTTCAAAATGTCTTCTTATGTGCAAAGTTAGGAAAACAGTAAAAATTAATCATTTATTTTCATAAGATACAATGGGGACCAACCTTTCATAATCTTTCTTGCTGTAAAGGCACTGTGAGGAGAAAAGTATGGTATTCTCTTTTTTAAAAAATTAAGACAACTGCTCTTGCACTTGACAATATATACACAAAATTCACAAAAGTCAATACATTAGGGAGCTTCCCAATGAAACTGTTAATGTGTCATCTCCATGATTTCATGTAAGACTAGTAAAGTTCCAGAAGGTAGCATCATCCATGTTGTTTTCCATGACTCTTTATGCACTCTTTGTTTTGTAGGTGTGGATAGAAATATGTGCCATTGGAGCACAGTGGGAGTTGTCGTCTCTGGAGAAAGTGGATGATATGTGCTAGCTGTGACTTTCTCTTTCAGAGAATTAACAAATAAGGAAAATCCACCTAGCAAATGTTCTACACAGGTAATTACACTGAATAGATCAGGGTTGACTGGTGCTGGTTGTGAAATTGACTGGAGATTGAGCATTCTCAAATGAAATTACTGGACTTAAATCCTTATCAGTAGCTATGCTTACACAGAAGCAAGCTTATCTTAAATTTTCATTCTGCTTGCTGTAGTTAATTTTAAAGATCATGTTATGATAGAATAGCACGACCAAAAGATGGGGAAAATCAAGTTGGCACAAATCTGACTTGGTCTGGCAATGAAAATGGCTTTAGAAGTCAAGGAAATTAATAGCCAAAACCTGTTGAGATTACAGTGGTGCCTCGACTTACAAACTTATTTGGTTCCGGAACTATGGTTGTAACTCGAAATGGTCATAAGTCAAAGTACCGTTTCCCATAGGAATGCACTGAAATGCAATTAATTCGTTCCGGCTGAAGAAAAAAATCACCAAAAAACCTCCACAAAGCACTGCAAGACCCATCGGAAATGTGATTAATCCGTTCCAGCTGAAGGGGGCAGGAGAAAAGCAAACAAACCGTGCAAGACCCATCGGAAATGGGGAAAAAGCAAAGCAGAAAGCAAACAAACCGTGCAAGACCCATCGGAAATGGGGGAAAAGCAAAGCAGAAAGCAAACAAACCGTGCAACACCAATCAAAAATGCAAAAAAAAAGCAAAGCAGACAGCAAACTGTGCAAGACCCTTCAGAAATGCAAAAAAAAGAGCTGGTGGACTTTGTCTCTGTAGCACTGTTGGAATCCCCAAGGCTTTTGGTCTTGGGTGATTTCAACATCCATGCGGGGTCCGAGTCATCTGGTCCAGCTCGTGAGTTCTTGGAAACCATGGCTTCCTTAAACATGTCCCAACATGTTAACGGCCCCACCCACGTGAGTGGTCACATGTTAGACCTGGTTTTCTCCAACAACTGGAATGAGTGAGGTCTGTTGGTGACTGACCTTGTGTCGGTTCCCTTGTCATGGACAGATCACCACATAGTAAAATAACCTCTCAATGGCCCTCCCACCTCGCAGGGAGCAAGGACCCATTTTAATGGTCCGCCCTCAAAGGCTACTGGATCCTATAGGATTCTAAGATTCCATGAGAGGGATTCCGGTTGAACTGGCTGGTGCTCCTGTCGAGGCTCTGGTTGATGGCTGGTTCACAGCAGCCACCAGGGCTGTAGACATGATTGCTCCTAAACACCCTCTCCAATGCAGAGCTCGGCCTGCGTCCTGGTTCAATCAGGAGCTATGAGCGATGAAGCAAAATAGGAGAAGGCTAGAGTGCATATGGAAACCAACGGATCACAATAAGGTAGCTGTCAGGGTCGCACCTAACCATTATCTTGCTGCTAGTCGAGATAAGGGCTGCTAGTCGAGCTCACCTTGCTAACCAGATAAGCAAGGCTTCAAATAAGCAGATGGAACTTTTCCGTATAGTCCGTGACCTATCCAGAATTGGTCGAAATGATAGGCCTTCTTCTAGTATCTCACCAGACCAATTTGCAGCATTTTTAAAATATAAAGTGGAGGCCATCCGCTGGGAGCTCTCTCCTTTTTTGGATACAGTGGATTGAACAGCACTTGATCGCTGTCAGGCCACCACCTCATCCCTTGACCCTTGCCCAGGCTGGCTAATCAAAGCAGCCAGGCTTATAACAAGTGAATGGGCCACAGCAATAATTAATGGTTCTTTCCTGGAGGGCAGGTTTCCTCTTGCCCTGAAAGAGACACTCATTAGGCCAATTAGGAAGAAACCAAACTTGGCGACAGACGATATTGGCAATATAGGCCTGCCACCAATGTTTCTTTCATTAGTAAAGTGGTGGAGAGGGTGGTGGCCCATCAGCTTCAGGCTCTTTTGGATGAAACAAATACTCTGGATCCATTCTAGTCGGGTTTCAGGCTGTGCCATGGTACAGAAACGGCATTGGTCGCCCTGTTGGAGAACCTGTTGAGGGAGGCCAACAGGGGTAAAATGTCTCTATTGGTCCTCCTCGATATCTCAGCTGCCTTTGATACCATTGACCACGATATCCTCCTGAGGAGGCTCTCCGAGCTGGGAATTGGTGGCCTGGCATTTGCCTGGCTATGATCCTTTTTGGAGGACCATCTTCAGAGAGTACAGCTTGGGGAAAGGGTTTTTTTTTTTTTTCAAGAGCACAGTGCTGTCCTCTGAATATGCCGGCCACAGAGACTGGCAAAACATTAGGAAGAACAACCTTCAGAACACGGCCAAAGGGCCCAAAAAAACCACAACAACCACCCAGAACAGTTTTTAAAAAGCAGGAAGCAGCACCTTACCTTATCAGGCAGTTTGAAGCCTCCTCCAGTCGCACACTCTGTAACCGCTGGGGCAAAAGAGCTACAAAGAAGCAGCCTCTTCACCAACGGTTAGCAATTTGAATTTCCTGCCTTTTTTTTCGTTGTAACTCAAAGCTCCAGCCACAAGTCGAAGCAAAATTTTGTGGGCGCAGCTGGTCGTAACTCGAAATGGTCATATGTCAAGACGTTCATAGGTCGAGGCACCACTGTACTCAAGTAAAATTGATGAGACAGTCCGCTACTAGAAGTTTAAACTTGGACAAGTTTAATTTCAACACTTTTGCCTGTGCTACAGGCACTCTTAGAAAAACAAGTTTTTTGTTTTGTTTTTAAAAGAAAAGCAGTGCAACCTAGAAAACTATGGTTTCATCAGTGGGTGTAAACTTTCAGTTGATACGGATTGCAACTGTTTTGTATCATGACTGTGTTCATGTTTTCTGTAGCCAGGTCATCATCTGACGGTTAGTCTTTTGATGAGGAGTTTCTCCATATTTAATTAGATTGGTTGTCAGGTGATCAGGACACAGTCTTACCGCCAGGATAATACTGAAAGCCTTACAATCTTGATAGAAGTAGTTAGGGCTTCCCCTCTGCTGCCACAGACTTTAAAAGTCCTGGGTCGCATCCATGTCATACTAAGGTGACTGAGTGGATTTTGTGAAGGTGTGGCCCTTCAAATTTTTTTATTATTCTAAAAAAAAAACCCACACCTGCACACAAACCCACCCATTCACCACTAAAATGCCACTGAGAAACATGCACTTCCAAATATCAGAAGAGTTACAGTCAACCAAAGGGAGAAACACAATGCTATCCACACAGTACTGTCATGCTCAGTGCATGGACAGAATCTATCAAGATGTACACGAGAAAGCACTGGACCTGAGTTGTGGACAATCAGTTGCAAGTCAGCCTGCATACTGCTGTAAAACAGGATTGCTTGGACGTACCAGAACATCCTGTATCTGGAAACACCCTTAGCCTTTAAGAAATAAAGTAGAAATGTCTGTCACAGACAGAATAAGTCCCACTGAAGTTTGACCTTTGTGTAAATAGTGTCATTATATACTGTAGTCCAATGTCTGTACTTTGTACTGAATGTAGTTTTATCTGGGCAGACTCAGGGGTTTCTTAGGGGTTTTCTGCTTTTGTTTAAGAGGAGCAGACATCTAGCTTTTTGACTGATATGTCTTCTAAGCTTCCTGTGATAACCTTTCTGTTATGTTGTCAACAACCATGGGACTGGTGTTGCCTGTTCTGGGTACTCCACCAGTTTTCTGACGTTGCAACAGTTTCATGAGAGGAAGTGAGTTGATCTGTTTCTTGAGCATATGCATCTTGGGAGTGGGCTAGGGGTTTACCCCATCTCATTTTCAGATGTTCGTTCTCTCACTACCCTGCCCTTGTATGCTCTGTCAGCTGGCTGCTGTTTTTGTTTTTATTTTTCCTGAAATATCTGTACATATAGATAGAACTTTATTTTGTTAATAAGACTAGTAACTTAACCAATATACTTGTTTATAAAGGGTATTCTTTCTCTTGGTACAATAAAAATGATGTTTTGGAGCAAATTACTGTGCCTTTCCTACCTTCAGACATTTGGAGTGTTGCTGCTTCCTTTTACATACAGAGGATACCTGGGAAATGGTCTTTGCTGTGTGTGTACATCCTCAGACAAACATACTTGTTTTAAAAGAAGAGTCCTAGCCGCTGGTGCAACTGCAGTGTTGCTTCAAAGAGGTTTCTTCACTCATCCTGAACCAGTCATCCTGACACACTAGTAAGCAATGTGATACCTTGATCTACAGGAACCATGTCCAGTGAAGAATGTGGCTGATCGAGTCAGATTACACTTTCTGCCGCATGTTATCATATGCTGCTTTCAGTGCTGTGTTGGGACTGTGTAGCACTTAATTTGAAACAGTCTTGGAGCAGCAAACACATGTAGCACACACGGTCACTGGCAATACTTCTCCTAGTTAAAGTTTATGTGCTGTCACGTTGGAACTTTTAGTTACCCTAATAGTGCTTTCAAGGAAAGTGAAATATCACCTTATATAGAGAGTCACCAAGAGAAGCAGCGATACTTCTCCTAGTTAAAGTATATGTGCTGTCAAGTTGGAACTTTTAGTTATTCTAATAGTGCTTTCAAGGAAAGTGAGATATTGATAACTATAGATACTCTGGTAAAAATTGCTAAATTGTTTCTTTTGTGATCTTTCTTTTTAGCATAATTGTGTAAGAATATTCTTTCCCTCTCTGGAATTTTACCCCTTTCCAATGCTTACCTATTCCCCCTGTACCCCTATCCCAATTTCTATTCCCACTGAAAATGAACAAGAAAAAAGGGAAGCGAAACATTTGAAGAGTGGTTTTACCAGTTTTACTCCCACAGAGTTTCCATGGTCAAGTGGAGATTTGAAACGTGGTCTCAAGAGCCCTGGGATGTGGTGGCGCTGTGGGTTAAACGTCTCAAGAGCCCTGGGACGTGGTGGTGCTGTGGGTTAAACTGCAGAAGCTTCTGTGCTGCAGGGTCAGAAGACCAGCAGTCGTAAAATCGAATCTATGCAACAGAGTGAGCTCCCGTCGCTTGTCCCAGCTCCTGCCAACCTAGCAGTTCGAAAGCACGTAAATGCGAGTAGATAAATAGGTACCACCTCAGTGGGAAGGTAACGGCGTTCCGTGTCCAGTCATGCTGGGCACGTGACCACAGAAACTATTCAGATGAACACTGGCTCTACGGCTTGGAAACGGGGATGAGCACTGTGCCCTAGAGTTGGATACAACTGGACTAAATGTCAAGGTGAATCTTTACCTTTACCTTTACCTCCAGAACCCTAGTCTGTTACTCAGTCCACCACACCACATTGTGTATGCAATACTTCTACCCATCACAAAATGTCTACCGTTCTTTTTTTTTCTTGGTAGTCGTGCTGTCTGGCAAAAGGAACACTATTTTGCACATCAGTCATTCACAATGACACTGTTACTTGTAAGACAGTATTTCCAAGCTCTGCACAGAAGATACGTCTGACAAGACCAAGCTGCCCTTGTTTATCTCAACATGCTAGAACTAACCAGGATGTTTCAGGATTGAACCATGCAGTCTTTTCATATGCATGCAAGTAAGTTTGTATATAGCATTTTAGCAACATAATTTAGATATTTCTATTGAAAACTGAGTTCTACGGTGTTTAGTGAGGGCTACCCCTGGTATGTTTTGGACTGCAGACTTTTACAGGAAATAAAACACACTTCTGGCCTCTCTGTAACTGACTGCCTCTACATAATATTACATTAAAATTATGGTTGACAATGTCAGGCCAAGCCATCATGTGAAATACACATGGAAACTGTGGGACAGAAAAACAATGTCTAAATATGCTCCTTTTTAATTAAAGCAAATTTAGTTCTGTCAAACAAATTCATCAGTCAAAGTCACACTGAGAACCCAAAGGTCTTTGCTGACACAGGCTAAACACAACCATTTTTAGGGATGTTGGAAGTAGTTAGAAGGACACCTGTTTCCATGGTATATACATCCCTCTTGTGTCCCACAATTTTTTTTTAAATTAAGGAAACCTATTTAACTGGCTGAATGGTTTCCAAAATGGGTTGAGTTAATGTGTATGTCCTGAGCGGTAACATTCTTAAAAGTACTTTTAAATCCCTGGTAAAACAAACAAAACCACAATAACACTCAATTAGCAGTCTGTGGCCATGTGTGTTGTGTCCAGCGCACTGTGCACCTGAAATGTTCAATAGCTGGTTTTGCCAGTACAAACTTTAATTCAGTGCTTGAAGTGCGGTGGCAGGTTTTAAATTTAAAAAGGCCACTTATGATTGATTAGAAAATAACAATTTGGATCCCTTTCCATTTCTGTCTTCAACAGTCAAACAGCATGAATGCCAAGTTCTCTGCTGTCACTGGAAGCTTCAAAATGGTTTCTTTGGGACTACAAAGACCAGAAGCAGACTTTCCTTTGCCTGTCAATCAGAAATCACAACCCACTCACCAAAATATGTAGTCCCTGCCAGTAGCTTTAAGTCTCAGTTGTCCAGGGTTACGGGACTATATTGGCAATGATTCAAATACCAAAGTGCCAGAGAAGGATGGCTTTGTTCTCATAATCATTAGTGCATAATTCATAATGGGAATGTTTGTGGTCTGTGGAGTGAAGACATGCTATGCAGTGTTGATGCAATGGAATTCTTTTGGCATCTGTCAAGGATAGCAATTTGTTGACAGTAACAGTTTTGGGCAGGTGAATGACATGGCTTGTATGAGGATAAAGGCTTGAGGATTCTTTTAGTCTTTTGGTGGCAATTGTCTCCTCCCATCTTTACCAGAACTAGTCAGTAAACAGGAGAGAGATTACTGTATTTAGTGTGTCAAACTTGGGAAGCTGCTGTGTGGCTATGTCATCTTGTGGATCTTCTAGCTGGGCCACATTTTTCCCAGGCTCTTAATATTTACTTCGAGGAACCTTCTGACGTTGCTTAGGTTTCATTAGTTTGCGATTCTCACTGCCACCAAAACACATACAAGCTGAAATCCTGTTGCTTAACATAAGCAAAGTTTTCAGTTTTGGTCCATTCCTCACCAGTAACTAAAGAGCTCCCACTATGATTCTTGGATGGTATGTGTGCATGCACCATACCAGTGTAGGTGCACGCCCTGAGAATTATGGCAGGGACTCTTATGAGGAAGGGACCAAAACTTAGAACTTTGCTTATATTTTTAGTTAGGCATCCTTCAGTCTCGAAAGACTATGGTAACGTGCTCTGTATGGAGGATTTGGAACAGCGTCTAGTGTGGCTGAGGAGGCCAATTCGAGAATGACAATCTCTGCCACACTGAAGACAAATCCAATCTGTCCCGTCCAGCTCCCTGGTTTTGCTGCTTTTGTGACTTCCTCTTTGCTTCAGCCTGCTGGACGAGGGTCTCTTCAAAATGGGAGAGGCTGTGATGCAACGCCTGCCTCCAGGCTGAATGCTCGGATGTCAGGGTTTCCCATCTGTTGAGGTCTATTCCTAAGGCCTTCAGATCTCGCTTGCAGATATCATTGTATCGCAGCCGTGGTCTCCCTCTGGGGCAATTTCCCTGCACTAATTCTCCATACAGGAGATCCTTTGGAATCCGACCATCAGCCATTCTCACGACGTGCCCAAGCCAACGTAGACGTCACTTTCAGTAATGTATACATGCTGAAAATTCCAGCTCGTTCTAGGATTACTCTGTTTGGAACTTTGTCCTTCCAGGTGATACCAAAAATCCGTTGGAGGCAACCAATTTTGGGCATGGTTTGTTAAATGTGACAATAGTGGGGATTTTTTGGGGGGATTCTGATGTTCTGAAACAAAGCAGTGCCATCTGAAGGCTTGTTTGCCTCGTACCAGTTGCATTTCCATGATCACTAAAAATATAAGAGAGGCGCATTTCTGGTACTCTGAGAGAATATCACTTTTAATATGACACATGGATAGGGTTTCCCATTTGCCCATTTTTGTGTGGCATAATACTTTTATAGTGATGTTGACTATTCTGATATACAGCATCCTGCATCATTTCAAGATGTTGCCAACACAAGTACTATAAAGTTAAGGCATAATACATGTAGCTTCTGTCTTGTTTTTGTTGTCCTGCATATATATTATTTTAGGATTGAAACTAAGGCATACTCATTAAAAGCAATTTGGACAGGACCTTATTCTACATTACACAAAAGGATTTCAGCCATAAATTCTTAATTACAGACTGGTTTTTCAACAAAAGGTACGTGACTTTTATTTCCTTTTTTAACTTAATGAAAGATCGCTAATTGCTCTGTAAGTAAATTTGCAGTGCAGTTTGCTGGTATTTTATGCAAACAGGAGTAAATATAATCACAGACCTAATCTTGAAATGAACATCGTGACATTAAGAATATTAGATAGCTCAGGAAAAAAATTCTCCTGTAAAAACACACAGTAGCATAAAACAGAGAACTCTTATATTTTCGGACACGTAGAACTGGATAAAAGGGGTTTTGCCAACATTTGCTCCTCCAGAAGCGGTATTTTGCTAAAAGATGGAAATTTTGGTAAGCAGTGAGGACATGCAATTCCAGTTCCTGGAAAAATTACTTTTCGAAAGGGTCCCAGTTTTGCATAACACTAGGAAAATTCTGCTTCTTTTGCAAAGCTCATATTTGTTGATATGCTGTGATTTTGTCCTACAGTCCTTCCCACTCCCAAAATCACCACAATAGTCAATAGTTCTGAAGCTCTTTAGAGCATATTTCAATTACATTACAAAACTACACAGTAAACTTGTCTTTCAAGTCTATAGTACAGTGTTACACATGAGCACCAACATGTCAGACCAAACATTATGATTCACAACAAGTGCCCTGTGGCACAAAAAGCAAAAGGCTACATCTAACCATTAGTCTCAACTGAAAAAAACTAACTGAATCAATAGGACTTACCCAGGTGTAGACTTTAGCAAGTCCCATCATTCAGAATTTTTACTGTAGTTGGGGCTAATAATTGGATTTAGCTCAACACAGGGAAGCTACCCAGAACCCTTAATTCTGGAACTCAAGCTGCCCAGCTTCTGGGTACACAAAGGTACATACAAATATATGCAAAAATGAACCAGCATGGAATAGAAGCATTTTTTTTGCTCCTGTGACATAAGTTCAGTACCGCTCATTTTCATTTTTTGAAGGAAACATGAACCTGTGCCCAAAGATTTCTTCATGAGGCAGTTTTGCCTTTCCTCTGTGGTTCTGGTGGACTGGCTGCTTTTGTAGCATCGAGTTTTGAAAAGTTACTTTCTTGGACTATAATTACTAGAATGCTCCCAGAGCATTCTGGGAGTTGTAGATAAAGCAAGCAACTTTTCTAAGTTCTTTAATCTCTTGTTTGCAGAATTAGAGTCTAAAGCAATCATACAGCATTTGTTTTCAAAATTCCAATTTCAAAATAAACCCCAATTCCTTGCTTTAAGCCACAAAACTGTTCTGAGGGCAGCATACTTAAATGCTGTTATTAGTGTCCAGCCAAACAGTGCTTTGCATAGCGTTTCTTATTTCTAACCAAACAAACTTGCTCCTCCTGTGTTTCGTTGTTGAGAACAGATCATACATACAGTGCATGTTCCACAGTCAAGGGTGCTCCTGTTGCTCTTGTAGTGAGTGCTTTATTTTAATCTTAACTCTTCTGAAACTTTCACACTGCAGTGACATTGCTTTAATACAAGAACCTCTATGATCTACTGAACCAAATACAATACAGTTGTTAGAAAACACCTTAAACACTGAAATATTCTGGAATAAGTGGAGGGTCTGAAGGCCCTCTTTAAAAAAATGTGAGACTCAAGAATCTGTAAGATATTTCAGATTCTGCCTCTATGTAAAGGAGTCATCTAGAGACAGGTATGAACTGCTGGTTTGTCCTGGTTCATTTAGTGTCACAAATAGGTGTTTGGGCAATTCTGCCTCCTGTCCCCTCCACTCAGAGGCAGAACCTGGAGGAGATGGGTTCTGCCTCCTGTGCCATCCAGTGGGCACCCACTCAGAGGCAGAACCTGGAGGAGATGGGGTAGGGAAGCCAGGATGCTGCCTCCCAAGTGCCCATCTCTAGATCCATTTCGTGTATCTTTTTACCATGCTGATCCTTTTGCATTCCTTATATGAGAGAATCTATGTGGAATGTCAACTTGTGAAGATACCATTGTCTGAAATGCACCAAGCAATCCAATTTTAGTGGCCAATTTACATTTTGCCAACATGGGTATGCTGTGAGGTGAAGCCCTCTTGGAAAAATGCTGCCCTCTGCTTTGACAGCACTTCTTTATCCTAGTAGGTCACACACAGAAAGTACAGCTTATCTCCACATAACCTGCTCAGCCACATCATTATTTTTGTTTTCGGTCATAATTCTTGAAAGTTTCGTGCAGAAAAGCAATTCCTATAATGACATGTATGAGAACAGAACAGCATAGAAGGCAGTGCTGATGGACCTTGCCTATAAATAGTTCTGGTGGTTATCATGGTTAGTGATAGATCTGGTCATGCTCGAGGTCTTGCAGCTTTCTTCTTTGCCCACTGCAGTGTGTTGTACCAACAAATGATTCCCATGTCTGTTAAAATTTCCTGCAGCATTATATATATGAGCTGGCCCTGGACATACTTTCTGGAAGACAAGCACATGGTTGGCTACCTTAATGAGATCGCACTCAGAACTTGGAAAAGTTACCTTTCTGGACTGCAACTGCTTGAATCTTCCAGCCAGCATGGCCCGGTCATGCAAACTACAAGATTCCGACCGTTGTAGCCCCTCCCAAAATCAACTTATCCAAGTTCCAAGTGCACAAACCCAGTGCTTGCAAATAAAAACAGTAACTTCCGTGTCTGAATGGAATTAAAAACACACACACATGTACCATGAAAGATATCCTGGGAGGGGTAAGTTCCTCTGAAAAATGCGGTCATGTTTTCTTTATACTCAGGACTGATTTCAAAGCAGTTCAGTTCCTTGTATAAATTGGAGAAACTGTTCACATTACTTATGGTAGGAATGGTAGTGTGCGTGTGACCCTCCAGATATTCTAGGATGGCACTGACCACCGTTTTCAGCAGCAAATCTAGTCAACGGCAAAGCATTGCGGGTTTAACATCTGATGGGCCACATCTTCCCCATTTCTCCTACTAGAAGTGAAATTGGTAGACTTCCATCAATTTCCTGCTTCCCATCTTTTGCGGGAAACTGCTTCCCAGATTTTGTGGCATGTAGGAGTTGCTGCCTGTAGGGGCAGAAAGGACATCTAGGAGGTATTTATTATGTTCTCTTAAAAAGTCTTCTCCACCAGCTCAACAAGGGCAGGCACACCACAGGAACTCGGAACTTGGGAGGTGTAGCTTTGCAGGAAAGGAAGTTAATTATAATAGCAGAGCAATTAAAAAGACAGCAGGAGGCTATTTTTATCTTCACTTCAAAATAAATATGAACATTGGAGATACTTGTGTCCCTGACTAAGTAATGAAGAAGGGAGATATCATGAGTTATTCTTAATGGCTCACTAAACAGAAGTCCATGGGGAAGAAATATAACCCCAGTTCTCAGTGAGCCTTTCTTAGCACTGGGAAAAAGCAAAATGGCAAGGTGGTGTAGGACCAATGGTTGTCAAACTTGGGCCTCCAGATGTTTTTGGACTGCAACTCCCAAAAATTCTGGCCAGCAGAAAAAGTGGTGAAGGCTTCTGAGAACTGCAGTCCAAGAACATCTGGGAAACCCAGTTTGAGAACCACTGGTCTAGACACATGCTTTCCTCATTATAACAGGAGAACCCAGAGGAAGCGTGTTGTCAGATAGGCCCTCTCAGAAAAGGAACTTGAATGCCTTCTTGTAAGACAAAGCACCATGTGAGCTATTCACAGTTCATAAGGAATGTTTCAAGTTGATTCCAGTTTTCCACAATCTAGGGATAAATAGATCTATTTACATATAAAGTAAGGCTTGATGCAAGGGGGCTGAGAAGGTCAGGTGATCCTCTCTATGTTGTATTTTGCCACAACAGTGCTATTAAGGCATTCGGAAAATGGTTAATTTGAAAATGCAAGCATGGAGATGAGACTGAAAGAAGGACTATCTGAACAGGAAGCAGCCTGCTACATGTACAGCCCCTCTAGACTAAGGATACTACAAAATTAGAGTTCCCAACAGAATGGGGAGGCTCCATATACAGTAGGTTTTCTCTTTTTCAGACAGTCCCTCGACCTGTGGAGGCAGCGAGTGGGGCTAGAAGTCTCCCCACTACTCACACTTTCAAATTAATTTCCTTTTGAAGGCCTGAATACAGTTAAGAGTTTACACTGTTAATAAAGTCTCTTTCTTCCCCTGTGCACAGCCGATGCAGTTTGGTGTAGCATTCATGCCACAGGGAACCATTCTTGTACACAAATTCCACTGTAAGGCATGTGTGTAATTTTCTTCTTCGTCCTCACTCTACTGACATAATTTTCATTTGCCTTCTATTTTTTAACAGATGCCCACCATGTTTTTAAAAACCACTCTAGTCTTTTGGAGAAACAGGTACTTTCACAGTCTTAAAACACTCAGTTGGTACAGATTCAGGCAAACCCACAAATAATCCAGTTAGGAAGGCACTTTTGATGCCATATGGAACACAAACACAGCAAGTTGGGCTGGGGGAAGTAAAAGACAGGTAAATTTGTCCCACATATTACTATTGTGATGACTGTATACTAGGAAAACCTAAGAGCTTGAAAAAAGTTACAGCTCCCAGACTTTCCCAGCCACTGGCCATGCTGGATGGAGAATTCTGGAAGTTACAGACAAAAAAAAAGAGTGATATTTTCAAGCTCTAGAAAAACTCCATGTAGCCATTTATTTTTAGTTCACTATTTTTTTTCTTACTAAAGGTGCATGGGTGTGTCTGTGACTATTTGTTTCCCCCCATATCCTTGGGTTTCAAGCAATAAAATCTTCTCTCTTCAAAGTGACCTATGGCAGGACTTGCAGTGTAGAGAACCCCTTCGCCAGTCAATGGCACAGAAGGCTGCTCTACTTACTAGCTCCAGAAAGCTCCAAATAGATACTTATGCCGTTTTTCTGTTTCTCTTGTATCTTAAAGAGCTCACTGCTGAGCATGAGATGATGTGTTCCTGATTTTTTTGTCTGTTGAAAAACAAAAAGCCGGAGGTGTGGATTCTGCCCTGTGCTTTGGCAATAGAGTAGAATTGAAAGGAACTGAAGCTGCTCCTGTTACTGTGGTAAAGGGGTGCCAGCATTCAATAGTCCAGCTCAAAACAGCATAATCCTGTGGATAGTTAATACAACCACCACTACCCATACGTCAGTTTTCCCCCAACCAAAGAACAGAAGATATCCCATCTAGTTCTGATGTATACAAGGCCATATAACACTGTAAGCCAAATCCTTCCCCTCCTACTCTTTGCCACCCTTTCTTTAAGCCTAGAAGCACTTGAAGCATTCCTTAATACCACAAGCTCTGTGAATGAAAATCTCTGGCCGGCAGCCATGTCCTAACATCACCTTCTGAAAGCATCATGTGGCAGGTACTTCGTGGATGGCACAGCCATGTTCCAGGGGCTGGATTTAATTTGTTGGCTTCATAGAAGGTATGCTTTCCTTTTCCTTTCCTGTTTCATGATGTTTGCTCACCCATTATTGAAGCAACTGCAAGACAACAGGGTGGCAGAGATACTCTACACCGGAGAAAATGACATGGAATCTTGAGGTCCAGAAGATTCTTTGGACTTCAACCTCACTTGGACATTTTGAGGGATGTCACTGCAGGCTTTGTTTTAAAGTACTGTTTAAATCGTATGTCTGCATATCTGCAGAGTGAGAGAAAGAAAAAGACTTTCATGATACCTCATTTCATAAAATGTCATTTATGTATTATATTTACAGGTAAAAATCCCAATAGTTATGCTCACTGGTATAATTCAATTGGCATACATTTTCAGTGAAGGGAGTGCCACCAAGATCTGTGATGATAATGCTAAACTGGCACAAAATGTGATACAATTGTGACTACTAGGTGGTGAGATCTTTAGAGGAAAGGTGGAAAAGGCTGGCCCTCCAGATGTTTTTGCACTGCATTTTCCATGATTTCTCACCATTGGCTATGCACTGGAGTTAATGGGAGCTGTAGCCCCCACCTGTATCTCTTGGTTGTAGTCTGATACTTTATCCATTAGACTGCATTGAGCATTTACTTCCACATCATATGGTGTGGAAGTGTATTCATTTACTATCCATAAACAGTATATCCACTCCTCTAACATTCACCATTCACAAACTTCTATATTGATCACTCAGTCATAATGCTCAGAGCTCAATGATTTTAGGTGCCTGATGCATTACAATGAGTATGGTGTTGATTCTTCAACTAGGACTAGTAGAGATTAAGTCTTTAGTTTCCACTCAGCTATGAAGCTAACCAGGTGACTCTGGGCCAGTCATCATCTCTTGGCCTAATCTACTTCATAAGGCTATTGCAAGAATAAAGGAGTGGGGTGGGGAATCCACCATATATGCTCCATTGAAGTTCTTGGAGGTAAGAAGCATGTAAGTGGAATAAAGGGGTGATACAAATCCATATACTCTGATCCAGATCACTTGTACCAGAGGTGATATCCCCAGGTATCCCTCCATAATGTCTTGCAGATGCAGTGGGACACACTCACCTGGCAAAATTAAAGTCTATGGTAGAGAACTGTGCTTGAATCAGACCCCAGCAGGCCCACAAGAAATGGGAGGCCTAGAAAAACAAAACAAAATATAAACAACATGTGAGGTGTGAATGTGAGAAAGAATGTGAAATGGTATGACTGGATCCTACAATTCAAAAGAATTCAGTTTAAAATCAAAATGTTTTTGTGTATACTTCTTTTAAACTGAGGATCATGCTCTGTAAAACCAATTATGTGAGTGGTTTAAGATTTTTCATGCTTAATCTGAACTACAGATTTTGCATGGTTTAGGCAAAACCACAAAAAGGGCTACTATAAAGTGCCCCTGCTGGCTAGTATCTATGACTTCACCAACACCATTCAGTTCTACAACTGCTGCAGCTGTTTTACAGCATTAAAATATATTTTACCACTCTTTATTTTCAAAATAGATATCCCATTAGAGCAGGAGCAAACCAACAGGTGGTCTTCTTATAACTTAGGTTGAAGAAGCTTTGACTGTGGTTGCTACTACTGCTTTCTATGGAACAGCTCTAACGATTTATCTTTTAGCTAGCCACACCATATTGTCTCAGATTCCATTACAGCAAAGTTCTCACAAAAAGGAGTTCTTATACTACTGGGAATGCTAATCAAATTTGTGTATGATACAACATTGGGTGGAATAGCTAATGCCCTGGAAGACAGAAACAAAATTAAAAAATGATCCAGATAGGCTGGAGCACTGGGCTTAAAATGACAGAATGAAACTCAGCAGGGGATAAGTGCAAAGTTCTACACCTAGGGGGTGAAACCAAAATGCACAGTTACAAGATGGAGGATTATTTGATTCAGTAATACTGTGAGTGAGAAGAATCTTGGAATTCTTGTAGAACACAAGCTGAGTATAAGCCAACAGTGTGATGCAGCTACAAAAAAGACAAATGCTATTTTAGGCTGCATTAACAAATCCCACAAATCCCCACAAATCTCCAAATCCCACAAGGTACTAGGTAAAGATAAAGGTTCCCCCTGACATTTAGTCCAGTCGTGTCCAACTAGGGTGCAGTGCTCATCCCCGTCTCCAAGCTGTAGAGCCAACGTTTGTCTGTAGACAGTTTCTATGGTCACATGGTCAGCGCGACTAGACATGGACTGGTGTTACCTTCCCACTGTGGTGGTACCTATTTATCTACTGTACTTTCATTTTTACATGCTTTCAGACTGCTAGGTTGGCAGGAGCTGGGACAAGGGATGGGACCTCACTCCATTGCCTGGATTCAATCTTACGACTGCTGGTCTTCTGACCTTGCAGCGCAGGGGCCTCCGCAGTTTAACCGTCAGTGCCACCACGTCCCACAAGGTACTAATTCCCCTCTATTCAACATTGGTTAGGCCTCATCTTGACTACCGTGTCCAGTTCTGGATACCTCACTTCAATTTGGAGGGCAACAAAGATAATCAGAGGGCTGGAAACCAAGCTTTATGAGGAAAGACAGAAAGAACAGAGCATGTTTAGCCTTGAGAAAAGGAGACTGAGGGGAGATATGGTAGCACTTTTTCAATACTTGAAAGGCTGTCATATAGATGAGGGGCAGGATCATCCCAGAGTGCAGGATATGTACAAAGTGCTCAAGTAACAGGAAGCCAGATTTCAGCTGAATATCAGAAAAAAAATTCTTAACTATTAGAGAAGAATGGCAATGGAATCAATTATCTCAGGAGGTATTAAAGAAGTACGGCAATGGAATCAATTACCTCAGGAGGTGGTGAGTGCTCCAACACTGGAGGCATTCAAGAGAATTTTAGACAACCGTCTGGCCGATAACCTTTGATTTGTATTCCTGCACTGAGCAGGGGGATGGCCTTCATTATTCTATGATTCTATTGCTGTCAAACTCAGCAAACAGACTGTGAGGTAAGTGAGAGCAGTGGTGTTATCAAGGGGAAGAGAGTGAGCAGGAGTCCAGGGCCCCACTCAACAGCAGAACTCATTTATCACATTGTGAACTATTTTTATTT